ATGCCACTGATAAGGTAATATAACAAGATATACATTTTTATCTTGGTTGAACACGCTAAAAAATGATAAATTTCTCTTTTTTGACTGCTATACCAGCAAAATTCTAATGCATTAATGCACGCCATTAGTATGGGAGAAGTAGAGATAGTTAGAATGCTATTGGAATACAAATGTAGCGTGGAAGCTGTTAAAAGAGTTAGTTCGAAGTGAATTGAGTTATATCAGAGTACTCGATCTCTAATTGGTATCTACTGTGGTTGTTTTTAGCACAAACTTTGGATTGCTCTGCACCAAGCCGCATGGGAAGCTGATGAAGATATTACCAAACTGTTACTCGAATTTGGCTCTGACCCTAATAGTACCAATAGCGTATGTTAATATGCAGTGTTAATACCCCGAAGTTAGAAATTAATTTGTGCCAGCAATCGAATCATTTGCAGTTACAGCCTTGCGGTTACGGAATTAGTGCTTTATATTTAACAAATTTCCTAAATCAATGATTGAAGCGTATGTTTTGATGATTTTAGGAAGGTATAACAGCGATTATCAGCGCTATTCAAGGCGCGAAACATAAGTCTGTTCTGGATGCAGTTATCAGAGTTATTGGCGTTTTAGCTGGGTATGGCTGTAACGTTAATGCCGGCGATAAAGTAAGTTATTACTAAATAGCTAGCTATCGATAATCGCTCAGTATGTATACAGGATGACACATGAGATATTTAGTTGTATGCCCTTGAACTTTTATTAACTAATTGAGATTAATTACCGAAAAATTCTGTATACGCTAGTACAGTACAGTTGGGAAATTGTAGACTATTTCATAGGGCACCTACCAGCACTGTGTTATGACATTCCTACTGCAATGCATATTTACCATACACTTTACAAGTATTGTTTACGAGTTTGTCATTAATAATACACCATGAGTTGCTTGTCTTGTTATAAACATAGAATTTTTCCTTGCGTATAATCAACTAATTTACAGCATTAGAAAATGCGTAACCAAATGTCATTTCCTGATTTTAGCGCTTTGGTGACTCGGCTATTATGTACGCAGCTCGGTTTGGCTTTCATGAAGTAATCGAAGCATTAGTACATCTTGGTGCCGATCCTAACTACCTAAACAAGGTTAATTGCTTAAATAAGTTAAAAAAGTGACAAAATTAATCAGCTTAATGCTAGTTTTTGTACTATAAAATTTAAATAGATTGAAAATTTTAGTATAAACTATTGGATATCACATCATAACTTTAATATTGTAGCGGTATTCTGTAGACATTTTCTAGTAGTCCTTGTATCTTGCCATGGTGACTAATTTATGCTACATAGTTAATCTTTAGGAATACTCTTAAAATTCGTGTAGGAAAAATATCTTAAATTTGCCTCAAATTAGTAACTAAAATCTTAAATATTGATAATAAACTCTCTGTAATATCGAGGTTAATAATTTTTTCTACTTAGAATAATGAAACGCCTGTAATAACCTGTATCAAACATTATTATGGATCTAAAAAAGCCCTTTATCTTCAATCTATTGAGACTTTGGCCAAAAGTGGAGCAATCCTAGACTATTGTGCCGGAGTAAAAATTATTAATTTACTATCGACTAATGTTATACAGTACCTTTCTATAGATACTTGCTAATAAACTTGAAACAGTAAAGATGTTAGAGATTTTCGTAAATCTTATCTTAAAATGCCTGTACAGGTATCCATTTGTATAGCAATTCATGTCATTAACCTAGACTAAGGCATTCAAATTGTATAGGGACAAACGCCACTATTGTATGCGACGCGCCTAGCAAGAGATGAATGTGTGAACAAACTACTAAGTCTGGGTGCGAATCCTCATATAACAGATGAGGTGAGCGTTCGCTACTTTTAATAATACACAAGATGTTATCAACCGTTTATTATTCATGTTTTGCTTTATTATATTCTACTGTCGTACCTTTTCTGTTAATACGTATGATTGCTATAAAGTATTTTATCAATATATTTCTTAAATTGTATAGTTATAATATGAATTTCAATTTATTAGAATCAAGTGAATGCACTTATAGTAGCTACCCAGATTATTCCACGGAATCGTTTAGTTAGAGGCCATTACCAACGTATTTTGACTTACCTGCTTAAGACTGGCGTTAACGTTAATCATCAAGACGCGGTAATTAATTGAATAATTATAGTTAACATTATCGTACTGTAATACTGTATACAGTAATATCGTGAAGATGTAGTGTATAGTACTGTGTAGGTATCACTGTCATAACATTGATATAAATAGAAAGCAAGAAAAGTCTGTCTAACCAAAACAAGTTATCTCCTCTACTAGGCTGGAAATACCGCTATTATATTTGCGGTAAAAAACGAGCAAGATCGGTACATTAAAGTTCTTCTTAATAACGGTGCAAATCCTTATATTACTAACAAGGTATCTATCCAAAATGAAATGGACTTATAACCTATGGGGATAGTAGTGTTATTAAAGACTGTATTTGATTAATCTAGGAAGGGATATCCGCATTGCAAATATGTGAAGCAGTTAAAGATTCATATATTAAAGAGCAATTCCGGTACTTTCAAGAGATACGACGGGTAAAGTCACCAGAATTAGTAATGAAAATCTTTTTAGTTTTATCGTTAAATCATGTAGTATTAAAAAGTTTAAGACGAACAGTCGTATAGGTGTATAAGATCCAGTTCAATATTTATTGCAGCAGTTTTGTAATGCTATTCATATTGCATTACGCTAAGCTAATTGCTCTATCCGTGGGAATAGTTATAATCTACTTTTTTGATACTTATGTTGATAACCCTCATATATCCAGTGGTTAGCTTTATCCTTACGGATTCTTTATAACCTTCTCAAGGAGGTCTACGAAGGAGCCGCAGTTAGCGATACCGTTGATGGGAATCCCAGTAATCTGTACCAGAATAATTCCCCTATAGAAAGCACAGATGATAACACGTCAACTGATGCTGCTAAACCCATTAATCTACTCCCGAACAGTCCTTCTCTAGCAAGTACAGATGATAACAAGTCAACTGATGTTGCTAATTCCGTTAATCTACTCCCGAACAATCCTCCTGTAACAAGCACAGATAGTAACAAATCAACTGGTGAAACTGATGCGACAAAAGGTGCTAGCAATGATCGTATGATTGATCCTGCGATAACCCCAGCTGTATCAGATGACCAAAAGGAAACAAGTCTAGAAGTAGAGGCCCAAAAACGGTACGTCGTGATTGTAGCTGCTATAGTATGATGTGCAAGGTTTTCATTAACTGGCTATGACTCATTTTTCAATGTTAGCTAATGGAATAAACATTGTAGATGTGTTCAGTGTACTATATTTCCAGAAAGTCTTAAAATATTATTATCTAGCTAAGTATTCATAGACAATTATCTTTATTTCTTTCGTAGAGGGCAAGAAACTCACCAAAATGAGCAAAGGCGTTCGAAACGATTACGATTAAAGTGATTACATGTTCTGATGGTTAAACTATTTACCATTTTTCAGACAAGTTCAGTCATGAACAAATTCCTGATTTCTAGCTGCCACTATATTTCTAATTTGCCGAGAAACATTACTGTGCTTTTATATATTGTATAGTATACAAGAGAGAAAGTGTATAACCGAATTGTAAATGATGGTACTTGTATAAGTTATAATAATTATTATCTTCCTTTTACCAATACAGCCGTCACAAATGCGATGTATACGATAATACGCATTGGCAATGAAGGTACGTTAGTTAAGCCAATGACGTGAATTTTATATCATGAAGACAACACTACCATTTTATCCCCAATCTAGTCCATAAATTATAAAATTTAGCTTTATTGACTTATTAATTATATATTCTATTCACTGTATGTTAGCAATCTTGCTATCATACTTACACCTTGACTCGAAGATATCTTTCGTGTAACATACAGTTTTTAATAATATTTTATTGAACCCATCATTCGATCGACTGCAATTTTTAATAAAAATTTTTTTTAATTTAATAAAGTTGCACCTACTCTAAGGCTAGCAGATAATTTTATATTTGTATGTCACGTAAGCCGTAGTTGTAAGCTGTACTTATGAGTATACACTCAAAATGATCGACATACAGTAGTGATATTTGACATGTTAATATATGTTACACTATGACGGCATAGCTCTTTCAAAGCGAATAGATAAGCTGGATACACTATAGTCTATTTATCGCCATCTTTTACAAGAGCACGTAGAAACGGCGTATATATTTCACGGTATTCACCGTTGAGGCTTGGAACAAAGAGAGGACTACTAAGAAAGATAAGTACAAAGCTCGTTAGCAACTTATTAATGCATTTTTTGTAATATTTGAAGGCTTAATAACATTACTGATCAACTGGTAGGATATATGATGTTGATATATATAACGAAAGATATACTGTATGCAGACGATTGTATTATTCAAATCGGCATTATAACAAACAACTGATGAATCATGTGTAAAAATGGGTTGTAACCTTAACGATAATAAGTTACCAAATTATCCTTAAACTTGCTAAAAAGTAGAGTTTACATTGTCTGCTAGGAATCAACGCTAATTTAATCCCCTTGGGATATCCGCTATTTTATACATTGTCTTTCAAGTTGGAGATGCTCTCCAACCGAGCCTATAGTGGATAGCATCTTTTGATTGGTTTTAGGGTTATTACATGTTTTGTTCCTTTATTCTGTTATGACATCATCATTTTTATTCTTTAATCATCAAGACTCCATGCTAAGGCCAGACTGGGATTAAAAAAACTAGTTGATCAAGTATAAACTCTTATTAGAGTATAATCCTATTTTTTAATCTGACGCGCCTCTTTCCAACTGGATAGTTAACTCAATTTGGACTGCCTTGTTAAGGATGTATCGCTTATACTAGTTGTTGTAATCAATCCTTATTCAATAGCACTGTCTTGATTAGCTTTTCATCTCATCCATTGGATAGTAAAAGAGAAAAAAATTAGCCATGAATTTCTCTATGAATTTATCGATTTATCCATCAGTCATACCAAACGAAATTCGTGTCGATATTGAAAACATGCAGAAAAGACTTGGTTATCATATTAAAAATATCAATTTACTTCTTCAAGCTTTAACAAGGCAAAGTGCAATTCGCCAAGGTATACACTATGCTAGTAAAAGCAACAATCAACGATTGCAATGGGTAGGTAGTAATATGTTTCACAGTGGGATCGTTTATAAATTGTACGAAAAATACGCTAATAATAGTTACATTAGTACCGATTACTTAAACAAAGTAGCAATTAATATTACATCCAATATGGCGTTAGTTGCTGAAATTGGTAAACGAATTGGTTTAGCAAGTTGTGTCTTTCGTGGATCAGATGAGGAAATTATCACTTCAGAAATATTAGCTCATACATTTTTGGCCATCTTAGGCTCGATAACACTCGATGACGGCGGTCAAAAAGCAGTGCATGATGTTATTGAACGCCATTGGAAATGGTTTCTTGATAATCCTGAAGAGTCATTTAAAAGACGGCCCTCATCATTTCATACCCGTATGCCACCTCGTTCAGCGACTATGCCTTCACGACAAAGAATTCGTAGTTCTGATTTCCCAAATCATGGCACTGAAGTCTTATAGGTAAAAAAGAGACAAGGCTACTCAAAAGGGAAGCGATGATTTTATCCACTTGTAAATCTAACATCACCTATTTAATCACTTTATTGGTTTATTTTTTGACTCTTGATTCAAGAGCTGTTAAATTGATAGCTTAATCGATTGAAGCAATGATAGACTATTTCTTGGTTGATGCGCTTATCGAGAGCAATAATTATACTAGGCATAAAGTGATGTATGTCAATATAATCGGCCGACAGTTATCAAGGATATACTACCATTAATTTATAATTCTATAATTTGTTTTCTGTGTACTGACTTCATGATGTATAGCATAACAGCGAGTAACCTTTTAACTGTAACCATGACAATATTACTACATACATTAATCATTATTTGGTAGTATCGATCATCATACTAGAATGATTTGACTAACAAAATAGAAAGGTTAGAGCAAATTGAACTAAATCTATCTCAACAGTTACAACATTGGTTTAACGCTATTGCCAGTGAGAGTGCTGTAAAAGTTATCGTGTAGCAGTGGATTATAATTAGCAGTCTACCTTTCTATTTGTATCGAATTCTTTACGACACTATTATTTGTTACCTTGCATGAAGATATATTACAATAAAAGATAGAGTCAATAAAAGCAACGTTTATTGGATTAAAGTAATCCGAATTGTTATAAGCAACAGGTTACAGGATCTACTTGAAGTCAACAAGGTATACTAACCTATTTTAATAATAATCATAATGAATAATAAAACTTCAATTGAGTGCGGTACATGATCTATTGGCTAGCAGGTACGATATCGATTAAAGATAGGCCATTAAATTATGAATTAGCTGATATCATTGCTATGAAAGGTTAGAATCATATCCTTTTACAACGGCATCTCTATATCCATTTTCAACAATCTGGTGGTTATTGATGGTATTGATGGAGAAAGTTGAACTAGTGTTAGCTTTCTTCATCAGTACTGTCCGAGTCGCGGTCGCTAAGATCATTTAGATCGAATTCCTCGGCAAGCTTTGGACAGAATCGATGCACCAAATCGACACCTGTTTCGTCATTAAAATTCCTTCTCTTCCATGATGCTCCATACTTTAGCAATAATTGAATTCGTTCCACTTTGTCCGAAAAGGAAAGGCCTTTCGTTCTTATCAACAGATGTATTGGTAGATCGCCTTTACTCGATTGGGTATGGTAGTTAACGTTGTTAATACCAAGGACAATTCCTTCGATATCCTCCAGTGTACTAGTTTGACTACATAGACAACTGGGTAATTTGTTATGATCTGCCACAGGTAGTGGTTTCTTGCCTTTTCTCATAGGATTTACAAAATACGATTCACGGTAGAACGTTCTACTCGTTGATTCCATATTTGTTTGATTCTGATTGATGGCGTTTCGTTTTGGCCTTTGCTTGTTTACTCTAGGCCATTTGTTCTTTCCACGTACTTTTGTTGAAGCTGCATTAGCATTATTTACATCGGTAGCATGCCATTTTGGATTAGAGCTCTTTTCCGCTGAATTGTTCATAACATGATCATCATTCGTTGGCTCAACTTTAACCTTAATGGTGGTTAATTTGTTGACATTCGGTTTGGTTTCTTGGAAATGATTATTATGGTTATAAACAGTAGCAGAACTACCAGTAGTAGGTGTATCGACCTGAGTGTCAGTGGGTTCTAATTTTATAGTAGGCTTTGAACCAGCAAGCTTACCATACGATTGTTTTGACTGATTGATATTTTCATTTCGATCACGTAAATCATCCGTTAGATCCCTTTTGACGCTTTCTTTACAATCTTCAACTTGTTCAATAAAGTCGCTTGAAATATTTCCTGCTAAATCTCTACCACTCTCTCCACAATTATTCCTCTTATCCCAGTCAGCACCATATTTTAATAAAAATCGCAAACGGTGTATTTTTTCCCTTTGGGATAATGTACATGCTCTAATTAACGCCATGATTAAAGTATCGCCACGTCGATTAGGATAACGCCGATTGACATCAATACGACGCAATTTTAATGCTACTAGTCTGAGATTGCAATCGACGGTAATAATTTGTCGAAAAATCAATTTTAACGTTGTATCTTCATAGCCCAATTCTGTATGATTTTGTTCCATGTATCGTTTTTGATCTTTATGTGATTCTCTATCACGAAGTGCTGCTCTGAATGCTTGTCCATAACTTGATTCTTCAATCCATTGAACTAATTGTGGGCAGAATTGGTACAAGACATCGATAGCACTAATGTTGCCGCTATCTGTAGCATTCCAATCAGCATTGCAATCTAATAATAACTGAATTCGTTTCCATTTATCTTTATCACTTAAGCTACTAGCCACCAGTACCTTAATTAAAGGCGTATAACCATTTACAGTTGAGTCAGGCTCGTTGATGCAAGAACTTTCACGTTGGATAATCGACTGTAAAAGTTTAAAGTCGATATTGGGCTGATCGATTGCATGATATAGATCAGGAATAACGGACGTGTTATTTCCTTGAGCTGGACGTTTTTCCTTGACACTAGCGCTTGATGATGATGCTACCTTACAAGATATCGATTCTAGTACACTTTTAATTTCATTTTTGAATAATTTCTCAATCACATTACCGACATATAACAAGCTACCATCGCTATCTTTGTAGACTAGGCCAACCACAGCAAAGAGTAATCGATCGTAGGAGCTGCATTCACCATTATCCATTAATTCTGCCAAACCACTGCGTTTACCAACCTAGTGAATAAATTTCGAATCATTTAACCATGATATCAATCGCCGAGAAAGCTTAAGGTAATCAAAATACTCATTCTTATGGGCATCCTAGATGAAAAAAGATGATTTGACTTCTATTTGTAGTGGCAAGCAATCTATTGAACATTCATTGTAAAACATTGCTAATGTAGGCGACTTTGCGCATTTTCTCTATGGGGTGATGTCAACAAGACCAAGCATAACTCTAGGTTAAAAGAAGAAATATTTCTTCCTAGTGCTTTCTACTGCTTCCGATAAAGTGGTTTAAAGTTAGCCTACATTGGAGTATGTTTCCTGTCTGCATTCTTGTCAATGGGCCATTTGATCTCAGCAAAAGGAAATTCAAGATTGCTACTGTAGACGACGATTACTTTGCCTATTTTTGTCCATGGCCATTGGCCAAGCTCGACTCGACCCTAAAGGAATTGCATTTCTTATTTTTATTGCTTTTTACTGCTTATTCTATAATCATAATGTGAATTCAACGTAAACCTAGATTGTAGCCTATTTCCTGTCAGCATTCTTGTTTATTGGCTAATCATTCATATAATGATAATGAATGCATGAATCGAAGCAAAAGGAAATTGAAGATTGCTATTCTAGGCGCCCATTATTGTGTGCATTTCTAGAGGGGCTTTGAAAAGGGATTTTTGTTGAAAAGTCCATGGCCAAAGCATATAACTCGACACTAAAGGGACTTATTTATTAATTTTTACTGCTGCTAATTCGATCATCATAAGGCGAGTTACAATTTAACCTAGATGGTAGCATGTTTCCTATTGGCATTCTTGTGGCTAACAAATAATTCAATGGTAATGGATGAATTCATCAGAGCAAAATGAAATTCAAGATTGCTCTTCTAGGCGCCCGACTATTTTGTCTATTTTTATAGGGGCTTTGAAGACAGCGCTAAAGCAATTATTTCTTATTATCGTTTTCCATTGCTGCCAATCATGGAGACTAAAGGTGAATTGAAATTAAAGGCGTATTTGCATTCTTGTCGCCTACAAGTTTACTAGCAATAGATGCTTGCCTTCCATTTCATTAGCAATGGACATGGCAAAAAAGAGCATGGAAGAGTGGCAGTTTTTTTAACCCGACTCCAGACTTGATCCAGTCTATCGTCTATTGACATTTACTGTTGCAACATGTAGGAAGCAAGCCTAGAGAATTATGTTCAAGTCGGATGGATCATGACTGACGCCATGATGGTAATTTGGTGTTTGTGCTGCCTTTCGTTCATGCTCAAGGAATAAAGATGGAACAATTTGTTGCAGCCATGATAGCACTTGCTTGTCGTCTACCATGCAATCTACCTCCTACTAAAACATGACTCCTATGTAGAATTTTCATACCTCGTTGACAACATCGCTCTCTAAAAGCCATCGAACGAAGTGGTGGGCTGAATCTTGACTGATAAAGCCTTGATTATGAGGTATAATCCTTCCCTCGAAATAAAGCTTAAGAAATCGCTTGCCTCGACCAATAGGATCTTCATCATTGGCCGACCAGACAGGGTAATCCACACTCCACATTGCATCTCTTAATAAGTTTGGATTTTGAATTTTATAACCCGTTTTCTCATGGAATATTTGCGCTCGGCGATTTTGCGAATCCTCTAACAAGACAAGAAGAAAGATATTTCAAGTTATTTTTCTTCTCGTCAAGATAATTATTATCTGAGAAAAAAAATGTCTGTTAGACGACAATAAGAAAGGCCAGGCCTTGGCAAGCCATGCCATGAGCAATTAATAAGATTGAAAAAAATAAACTAAAATGCATTTTCCTCTAGTCTTGGAGACTACTCTTTTCTCAGCTCAACTCTCTAGCAACTTCTTGCTCCTATAGCGTAGTATAAATCCAAGATAGAAAAAGGAAAACGGCGAAAAATAACCAACTCAATCCATGCATCCAGCAGAAAGTATTTTCCTAATCTAGCCGATGCAATATTGCATCGTCCAACTGGCTTCCATGACGATTGCAATGCAAAATTGTCATGACTACATCATGAGAGGACTCTTTAAGCAATTATTTACCATCATAAGTGTCCATTATTGGCAGAAGATTGAGCTTTGACCACTAGTAAATCGATATAGCAAGACCAATGGGCCTGTTTCCTCTCCGTTGACAAGGTGGAAATGATGGCGGAAAAGGATCGAGCGCAGAGTATTTATTCTTTACCGCTGCTTTGATACCAATACCGAGAGGCATATGGTACTAGCGAGTAGTCAACACTATCTTATCCTATCATGGAATGCGTTCCTGTGTATGGCTGGCGGTTTCTACTGGGGAAATGCCATTTTTGTAGATTATCGATAGCCTTATTAGTAGCCAAGGCTTGGAGAACTAAGCCATCCATGATCATTACTTGCTTTATCCTGTAGTATTGATCATGTTTGCTCGAACGGGAGAAACAAGATGGCTAAAAGGGAGTCGGTGGCGAGCCGAATTTGGCTCATGGCGTCAAAAAGCAGCAAGTCAACAGGATACAGGGGGTGCAGTGATGGATGATGGAGATTCCTTATTCGTTAGCATATCCAATACTCAGTCTCGAATCATTATGCAATTAGGGCAATTAAGTTCAAGACTAAGGACGCCTAGAAGAAATCGCAGCGTGCAAGGATGGCGCAACGGCTACAGAAAATTGGCGACTGCACACGAGATGAAATCAACGTTGCTCAATCAATTCATCACGTGCACGATCGGTCTAAATGAAAGCAATCAAAATGAATATGGCGATTCAAATCAAGTGATAGCAAGTAATTTAATCATAATTCAAGTATGGTAGTAAATATTGAAAACGTTCCAGCAATAGAATCGGCGATATCAATCGAACGAGCTGAGACCGGCCATGTACCAATTCGGTGCGCAACGACTAACGGTGCAATTTTGAGATCGATGTTAGTTACTCGATATGGAAAACATGGCGTAGAAGACCGCTTTCTGTGCTATATTGCCCTTTCCTTTTTAATAGGGCTTGCAGCTTAGCCATCTTTCTGCATGTGTCAAGAATGATAGCGATGCAATTTTGGATCAATGTCCGCAACGCGATATGGAAAAACACGCAGTAGAGGCTCCGCTTTCTGTGCCATTTTTCCATTTGCTTACAGCTTAGGCATCTTGCTGCTTTCTACAAGTGTCAAGAATGATAGCGATGGGATCAAGTTTCAGTGCTGTCATTGGAATGATTGAGTAATGCACAATAATTGCAAATTTATGATTGTCAACATGTTTGTTGAGCAGATACGGTGTAGTACACAGAATCATGAGCAGGAAGCGACAAGGCTTTCTGCTCGTTACTATTCAAGAAGAAGTTCCCAAGTCAAACCGAGGTCTTTCTTAGTATGTTTGAACGACTTGGATTCACAAGATTGCACCATTTCTACCTGATTTCTACAGTATTGATTTTGTTTTATCTAGAATGGAGTACTCGGACTAAACTACAGTATAGTGCACTGCTGACAACCAAGCATCAAGTTAAAATGGCTTCCCAATGACAGGATAACATAAACATGTTTCATTGCTTTCCAAGGAATGGTGGGTAAACTCAAACGAGACTTCAAATTTCCAATAGCCACCTTGGATATATAGCAACTGTTTTTCTCTGTAGTACGATTGTGCAGCTACTTGCTAGTCTTGATATTTTGCAATCACTAACATTTTTGAAGGCAGATTTCACACTCTGTCAACGACTTTGTCTTGTCTACAGCTGAATGCTCTGAGGAAAGGTTACTCGAGGAGCAAGCTAAAATGGCTTCGCAATGACGGGATAACAGAACCAGATTTCATTGATTTCCAAGGAATGATGAACTCAAACGAGTATTGATATCTCCAATGGCCACCTTGGATATATATTAAACAAGTGTTTTTCTCTTTAGTAGGATTGTACAACTATTGCTGGTCTTGAAATTTTGCAATCACTAACATTTTAAGGTAGATTTCACACTTTGCTAACGACTTTGTCTTGTCCACAGCTGAATACTCTGAGGAAAGGTTGCTCAGCTATTACGCATTGCAAATAACGAAGCATCAAGTTAAAATAGCTTCCCAATGAGAGGATAACAGGGATCAACTTCGATGTTGTGCTACTGCCATTGAAAGCTTTCTTGCGACGTCTATATTGCTTTCATCATCGTTTGTTAAATGTTGCATCGTATCGTATAAGACTGTAAATGCAGCAATATCATCATTAGGGGAAGCATCCTAATATAGTTATGAAATACTCTACAGTTATACGACAGCAGACTCAGAACGACTGAGTTCATAAATTATACGACTAGAAACTCAGACAAGTATGTAATACACTTGGACATAAATGGAGCCTACCATCCTATGAATTGATGTGCCAAATCCGTTATTGCAACGGGTATTTACTGCTAGTTTCTATAAAATAGTACACTGCTAGTGCGATTTGTAGCATCTTGTACTACATTACTCGCTAGATGCAATTACTACCAAGAATATGACCTAGTGTCCATTGAAGCATCTTGGAGCTACATAACCCGCAAGATAGAAACTACTGTAAGATGGAGTTTCTATAAAGACAATATAAATTGATTTTAATCCAAGCATAGTACTGCACATACCAGTACATGGTAGGATAGCTAGCTGATAATCAAGACTATCGTAAATCGTGAATTTTATTGCATCATGAATAGAACAACTGTTGCAATAATAAAGGTTTGCTAATATGCAGCTAAGATAGACCAAGATTAATAACTCAGTTTCTATTTTTCAGTAAAAATGTTGCAATTCTGAATCATCAAAAACGTAGGTAAGAAGAAGCATCTTGTCCAAATAGTCTTGTCAATCTTGCTATCACAGAAAGAGTATTCACAATAAAAAAGTACTACAGTAATTATCGACGATGTTTCTGGTTTGGTTTCCTTTTTTTCTTCTTCGACTTATCATGGCTATCAAGCTTTCCTTTTGTAGGGATAGGTTTGTTTGGTTTCCTTTTTTTCGTTTTCGACTGATCATCGCTATCAAGCTCTCTTTTTGTAGGAGTAGGTTCAGTAACAGTCTCTTGTTCTAAAACTGCTTCATCTGTGGAATCTTCTGTATCCGTCAAATTATCTATAGTTGATATAGAGGATTAAATGCAGTCACAAAGAGAAAATCAATCCATAAACTAGCATCGAAATTAAGTTAGAATTCTAGCCTATATTGGTACACCTATGAATCTGCATGTCTGTTAAATGTCTATCATCTATTTATCACTCTGGCTGTACTGGAATAGGATCAATGCTGTAAAGACTATACATGGACACCCGTATAATCCATGTACAACCACGGCATATTAAATTCAATTGGATGGATGCTCAAGATCATTGTATGATAGAGACTAGTATAACGTGAAAGTAAAAATAATTGCCTTTGCTTTCCTACAGTACACACCTTCCTTAGCAGGTATAAGATTGGACAATTTCTTAAATTTAGCTACAAAAAAGCCATCCATATTATGTTCATGAGGGTAATATCGCCTTGTTAGTTTTAAAGTAGGATGAAAGCGACGCTCTTTAAACCTATCAACATTTTGATCACAAAAGTTAATGCAGTTAATTGTTGATACTACGTACATACAGCACCAATTCGAACAGACATAATAAAAAAGTATAATTACTTCGTAAATCCCTCTCTACCAAATTCCAATCCAGTGGATACTAATTTTACAGATCGGCGCTTCAAGGCGTAATCCACTACCCATTCATCTTCTTCTACCTGAAAAGTACATTATTGATTTAAATTAAATTACAAAAAAGGCCCACTTATTACTATCCAAAATATAATAAACTTAAATAATTCATTTATGAACAGCAATTTAATATCATTACCATTATAGAACAAGTACAATAAACGATATATCCTCCAGTAGATGATCTTGCATCAACCGAGTCAATGGCCGACAATAATAATTCCTTTTGAATGTGAGAGCATCGTAATATGTCTTTTTCACTCTGTAAGTAAATAAACCATACGCATAAGAAAATGATAGCATATTTTTTAAACTAATTCTAGTGATAGCATAGAAACACCTTATTCGATTTAACGGAAGCATCCTTAGAGATTACACCTGTACCACTACATGGAGCATCCAGTAGTACCCTATCGAATCCTCCAACAATCTAAAAAAGGATTTTTCTTATTAAATAGCATAACTTCATTTTTGGAATTTGACACTATTGCTAGTACCTTTGGAAATTGTCGTCCATTTTCACTACATACGATAGTGTTGACGACACCTGCCAAACAGAACACAATTTAGTATTACGAACTCCACTATTCAACTGATTATATTATTTTATTCCACCTAATCGATGAATATTTGCCGTTAAAGCCTTGCATCGTTCTTTATTAACATCATTCGCTACAATCATTCCAGTATTTTTCATCAAGGCAGCTAGAGGTATGAAATAGGCCACATATGAAGTTGAAATAATCATAATACAATCAATACGAATTGATCACACAGTTCAAAATACCAATATATGTAGTCTTGCCACCAGGAGCTGAACACATGTCAAGTACTTTTTCATTCGGTTGCGCTGCTAACGCCATTACCGGTAACATAGACGAAGCCCCTTGAAGCATGTAATGCCCAGCGAGATATTCCGGAGTTGCACCTACAATTATGCAAGAAATTGAATGTAACGTGTGAATAGCCCCTTCAAAGAATGCTCAGCAAGCCAGTACCTATGATCGCATTATTCAAGAAGTAGTATAGTATACTAGTTCAGAAATTATTCAATAATTACCGATCGGTACTGGAGAATCAAATACAATCAGTCCTACTTTAGACCATTCACCAATTGGATCTAAGTTGACACCACGGTTGATAAGAGCCTGTAGTAATAAATTTATTTTTAAATTTATACTCAGGTATATTATCTACAATGAAGATAGACGATAAATGCAACTCATGAATTTTGTATGACAGAATACCTGTGCAAGATCTCTACGTCTCGATTTTAACGTGTTAGTACGTATAGTTACAGGTCGCTCAACTTCATTCGCTTCTAGAAATTCGATCAACTACAAAAGATATTTCGTTACTGTTAGTGCTGTGCAAGTGTACATTAAGTCTCCCACAGAGTAGCATAAAAATGAATGGTAACACTCTAAATAATCAAGCTGCGTAAAAGCATTACTTCTTTAATATCGAATAAATCCGTAAACTTCTGCATGAGGTAATCATTGTAGTTATAGTAATTCGCCAAGTCGTGCCTAAGTAGATCAAGATAGTCTTTCCGCTTCCTAAATAAAGACTCGGAGTTATTAAACTATTGTGACTTCCCGAATGAACCATCACGATCGATTACCTTTCAGGGTCCCTTAATCTTTTAAAATTGCCTAAAACGGCGATGGTATCTTTGATCCGTTGATGGACCAACTGCAAATCAGGAGGTTCAAGGCGTGGACTTATGTTAAGCATAAACTATTTATTCATGTAGTTCACTACTCATAGCAAAAATAATAACAGCTTTAAAGGATATTTTCTTTTTCAATTTCCTGGCCACTAGGCAAGACAAAAACTTCTGACTGAGCAATGTTGGTTTTCAGTTCTTCTTCTGCTAATTTCCTGAATAATACAGTGAAGGAAGAAACGTAAGATTTGACTATCTTACAGCTCTTTATAAATCGCTGATAGTTTTCCACCTGTTTCTAGATAATTTTTTATCTAGTTTTTGGGAAGCTTTTTCAATGGGTAGAAGCTATTAATAAATAAATAAAAAGGTATTTAACATCCAGATTGATAATTGTACTTTCATAATATCATTTATGCTAACATCATCTTCAGAGTCATCATCACTATATTCGGAGTCGTTAATGTCACTTCCATTAAGGCTTGCTTCATCAGGTAATTCTTCCGTCTCAGGCAACTCATCGAATTCATCGGGCTATTTATAGAAATAAATGAACAATCAATTCCAGTAATTGAAGGCTGTCCTAAAATCGTTCGGAGTAAAATTTCTTACAATCGCTTCATCGGAATCTTTATCACTTTCAGCATCATTCTCTGCTGCTAACTTTAGCCATTCTGCATTTTCGTCACTAAAGGGACTTTAGAAATTATCTTTTTTGAGTATGTGATATTGACGTTCTCGAAGATACATTAAATTATAATTGTTCATGTTTATTTAAAGATATCTACTTACTTTGCCTTTAATGGCATCTTGGGGGACAGCTAATGGAATGCACATGTTTCAGAATCACATGTAGATATTTAAGAAATATTACTACCAACAGGCATAAAAATTTAAAGTGATATTGCTAGTACATCCTTACATACCTCTAATTCTTCCAAATTCTCATCTGTATGAACGAAATATAAGTAATTATAGTATCCATATTATTAAAGGATCAATAACGTAGATTGATAAATGAATAGAGATAGACAATAAGGTCATCGTTAAGACTGTATAACTTATGCATGGTATGATAAAGTTAGAATTAGAACGTAAAGTGGTATATTTAAGATTTGAGAATGATAGCAATGCTATTAAGAGTATAACATTAATAATTCAAAATTATTTACTTGAGCAGATTCATTATATTAATTTTGATACTACAGAGCCGGTATTATAACAGAATTACTAACCGCTATCTTGCGCCACAAGTTCTTGATTTTTTCGGTTAAGATTACTACGTGCATAAAGATATAATTATAAATGTCAACGTCAACATTTTTAATATCTATTTTAAAATCATTCAAGTATTGAACATAATAGATTCATAACAAATCTTTAAATTCTTGTACCTCGATGGTATGGCAGATTGCTTTTTCCGAGAGACCTTGGTATCTGGTAAGATAAAGTAGAAATTAGTTGTAAAGACATCTTTTGTTGATCATAACTTTTACACTCATTTCCACGTGCGATCTACAGTACTACCATTGAATGCAACGCCGAAGCAGCTGTACTGTACATTATTAATGTTAGAATTAGCTTAATCAGTGATTGTACGGTAGATGATTAGGATACGCGTAGTATCAAAGTATCGAAAATTTTTGGATGTGTGCTTAAGCCATACATTCATTTCAGATGATACATAAGCTTTAGGATTAACTTTTAATGCCTTTAGAAGCTCATGAGTTAATTAATTATACGTATGCAATGCTACTACTGTTGGTTTTCCTGGTATTTATACACGAGGCTGCATGTATTCACAAATAGCTCATTCTGATCTGAGAGAATACCAGTTTACTATGGTGTACCAGTGAGACCTTTTACATAATGTCCTGAATCTCCTGATCGTCATCGCTTTTTCTTTGAACAAAGAGGTGATACATTTATCTTCATAAATCTACTATTCATTAGCAAATCATTATAAAATTTTTAGCAATATACGAACACTGGGAATCAATGATGTTGGCCCTAGCGATATGCATTCATTCTAGATGATGCATAAGATGCAAAATTAATCTTTAATGCTTTAAGAAACTCATGAACCAATTCACTATACATATGCACTGCTACTAAAGTTGATTTTCCTGGTATTTATAGTGGACTGTATGCATTGATAAATAGCTCAATAAGATCGGAATGAGAAAATGTATACCAGTTTACTATGTTGAGACCTATTACATGCTCGTAATGTCCTGAATCTCCTAATGATCACCGCTTTTAACTCTATGGTTACTACTGTAGTCCATCTATGAAGGACACTAGATCGACAATTTATACTGCTAAATATAAGGTACTATAGAAGTGGTACATTCATCATCATCAATCTATTGTTCATTCTACAGTATATTAGCTCATATTGTAGCAAGCTCTTGTAAAATTTCCAGCAATATACGAACACCAGAGATTAGAAATTGAATGTCAATTACGCATATAGCCCGTTTCAACAGTGCTTTGATTGACCAAGAAGTCCTAGCAGTGAAATCTAAATCTTTGCTGTACATGTGGCAACTCGATGAAAAATTGAATGAACGCAACGTAGTGGATTCGCTTTTGATCTCTAGTTGTGGCTCGATTTCATTGATTAGACTTGGATTTAAAACACGCCACTACCATCTAAATCGGTTTGCCATTATACTGTACAAGAAACTTTGGCTGCAAAGTACAGCAATGTAGCAGCTAAGGACAGCGAACATGTTGCCCTCAACCGAGATAATGTGTACTATACGATACTGTAGGAAGACTATAGACGACAAGCAACTACACTTGCAGTTTATCTAAGATTTTGTGTCCTTATAGGTATAACTATCATTCATTGCACAAGCCTAGCCAAGTTTATTGCATGATCTTGTACACCTTTCACTGCGCTACCTTGTGCACATTCTCAACATACCTTGACGTTGATTTTTGTTCTTGGCCTTGAAAACTTTGCTATCTGCTGGATGCTTTTTGCTTTTCATTTTGCTGCCTTTAGCTAGTGTCTTATCCTTCATTCTTGACTAATGATCCAAGGCAGATAGGATATAATGAGATTGCAATATCACTTATTTCTACAGGTAGCAGCGATCACTTTGCATTCGATGAGCAAAATCAATCACCATCAGGTTGGTCAATGACTGAGTCAGACTGATGATTTTGAAGCTCCAGCGCAGGTTCTACTATGGCAACGGGTCCGAAACGTCAGGTGCTGGACCAGCAGCCAACGTTCCAGACCGGTGATGCCGGACAGTTGACTGGCAAGCCTAGGCGAACCAATAGCTTCAGTATGGATGTGGACGCCTGACCAAGTTGGTACCCTACTCTAGAGTACACGTGTTACCGGTGTACGGTAGAACTTGATCGCATGCCTTTGATACTGTATAGTATAGTCTAGAGTAGAGCATGAGACCTGTAGTAGCACTTCTTGTACAGTAGGGTACGTCATCGTATTTGTCATGTTGTAGTCCGGTGATACTATTGCAGTAGAGCTACGCAGGTAAGCGATACAGCGACAAGAAACAGTATGAATCACCGTTGATAAAGTGTAGTATCCACAATCAGAGCAATTAGGGGCCAGGCGTCGGTTCGGTTCGGTTCGGTTACAGTAGGTTAGGTGAGCGAGCTAAGACACATTAATTCATTAATTAATTATATATTATGGCTGCTACTGCGGTTACAATTACAGCTGGATCCTTCTCCAATCTATTCCCTACGCCAACTGTCCATGCTAGTGATGTTTTGCCTTCCAAAGATGAAAATTCCGATGAAAACACGTCATTTATGTCCGGAGAGTGGCTCAAAACAACTCAGCAAGATCCCATATTGCCATCTTTGGTAAACGATGCTGCACTTCTTCAAAACATTGCGCGTATTTTATCTTTCTAATGTTGTATGCTTGCATTCAATAACTTAACTTGAGAATTCATCGAAGTGAGCTTACAGTACTATAGATCGTGTTACAGAGATGAGAGAACCTACTGAATGGATAGTTTTTGACTCTTTGCCTGTAGATAATTCATTATTGATTATTTGATATACTGTATATATGTCTCTCTCTATATATATTCGTATAAATAATTAATTAATCAATATATGCTGACTATACTGTACGGTATATTGACCGTAATCGTATATACTCGTATTTTCTTTATTTCCAAAGTTGTACGTATCCACTTGTTACAGTATATTGAACTTGAGAATCAATTGTAATGAGCTGAAAGTACCATTGATCGTGTCATAGAGACGAGAGCCAGCTGAAAGGATAGTTTTCTACTCTTTAAACTGTAGACTGTCTATGTATACGTATTTATGCGGACTATACAGCACGATAAACTATAAAATGACTCTACCATTCTCAGGTGTGCAAAACTGGAAAGTTTCCACGTATTACAATCAGAATATCATAAGTTGAGCTTATAGTATGTAGCCAGGCGTAACCTACTTCGATGCAAATGATATACGATAAAAACTTACTGTACAATTTGATCCTATCATACTGTATATCAGCAGATACAGTAGTCAATGACTGTTCATCACGCCTGACAACTCCTAAACTACGTATTTTATCAATTCTTTACCGTTGATAATCTCTTACGTACACATGCCTGTTTCTGTACAAGTCTAATTTGCAACGACGAAAAGTAGAACTATTACAGAAAACTGAACACTACGAGCCTACGGTAGAGTACTGTCAGGTTTGTCCTCCCTGACATCTGCCTACAGTATAACTCTAAATACTGACAGTCTCTTAGAATTAGCGTTAAAAACCATTAAACAATCAACAATAGGATTGTATGGAGCACTGGAACACCACTAGTCTCTCTTTTTAGACAAAACTTAACCTAAACTTTATCGAAAAACAAATCAATTTTTACGTAAACGTTACTTATCAGTACTTGGATAGATAATATTGTAAGACTATGAACTTATCTATACAAGAATGTATTATATCATAGATAACGGTGTTTTTAACAAATTCCGAAGGATGTTATCTGACGAAAAGAAGATAACCATTCGTTGGTGAAAGTCACTTCGTGATAACTGCTAAATCTTATTCCATAGACATCGTTCACCTGCTATGAATACTCTAGCTACAGAATGATGTGCAATGACTATAAAACAGTAGATAATGCCTATTAGAAATTTATTAGGGTAAAATTTTGATCTGGAATAAAGGTTATATTCTCACTGCTGTTTATAAATAGACATATAGAACTCGGATAGTTGTAATTTGACCAGATTATGTGTCATTATACGAATAGAAGGTGTAGTACTATTATTATCAGCATACGCATATCTACTCTATTGCGGTATGCATTAGCGTCCTTAAGTAGTTTTGAGTGCATATATACCTAATGAAAATATTGAATTACAGTACCAATATCTGTACTTGTAATTTGCATTTAAGCTTACCAACAGAAACAATTTTACAAAAAACTCTTGCTATCTGTCTACTTGTAATGTGCTTCCTTATGAATAGCTATGATGATTGTAACAATTTATAATTTCTTTACTTAATTGATTTCATGGCCATTTAAAAATCATCTTCCGGGTGAATGCAGACCAAAACTCAGCGTTTGATGGGTTTTATCTTTTGCTTATCCGCTGGCTTAGTCTGTTTTCTCATGGTAAAAAGCTAACGATTTATTATTTACTATTACTATGATTTATATGCATTATTCAATCAACATACAGTAGGATCATTTTACTGTATCGTCATTTTTGATAAGTAATTCATTGTTGTTGCAGCTCCAGCTGTTCCTCACTAGCTATAAAGGTAATACATGCGAGCTATTTTCCTATAGGCTGCCTTCCTGATGCCATTTCTAGTTCTTCGAGCAAGAAAATTTGCTCTATTATTCACCTTAGGTAGTTTATTTACGATAGGAAGGTAGGTAAAAGAGCGCCGAATGTCAAATAGGGAATATAGAAAGTTAATTAAATAAGCTGTTTCTAATTTGTTTCTAATCCCAATAAGATTAACTACACTAATGTTATCATTAATACGTAACTCATATTTTGAATTATTCTTAGTTTCTCTATGCTATGGGGACCTGTAAACCATCTTAAGCATTTATTTTCCTCGGAACGATTGACGTTTACGCTTACCTACTTTCTATCACTTTTTGTTACGCTATACGCAGCATTAATCGTAAGTAAAGTCTGTAGTACATGATTAAGATTTCAAGAGATGAGACATGATTGCTTTTGAACTTAGGTCAGAAGCACAGTGATGACACTAACTTTTGGCATAATTCAAATTATAGCATTGACATGGTATGTAGGTATTTATGTGATCAAGGTCGCGGTATAGTTTTGTATTCGAGTATTTAATATCAATTACGGCTTGTACCCGTATTCATGTCAAGATGAGGGCACGTAGTTCATTATATACTGTATAAATTAAAATCCTGTATTATATGCATGTGCCATTTGTGATTGTCATTTGATCGTATTATTTATGTTTATTTTAGGTACGTAAGCAGCTATGTGCCTGGTGGCATTACGGCGTTAAAATTGATGTCCAAAATATGTTCATCGTGTATGACAAAATCGGTCAAGTCAACTATATCTGTATAAAGTGGCGGATATTGCTGAACCTGATGGGATTGATGTTTGTAGCAATTCTACAGTTTTTTATTGTCTTTATTTAGTGCTTCAAATAACGAATCACAACAAGCATATGAACTCAATGTACTGTATCATCAATTTTCTCATCAAAGTTTAGTATGTAACAGAAGCATCATGGAATGCCGTATTTATGATGTACTTACTGCGTGGCTTTATGCGGCCCAAGTTTGTTAATTAGCTTATGAAGTTACTATAAATGTGATATTTATTTGATGTTCTGAAAAATAGATAAATACGTACTCTCTATGTAATATACTAATATTATTGAAGGCTCATACGATTTCCCAAAAAAGTGATGACATGTAAATACACTATTCTTTTTAGTTTTGCGACGCGACTAACTGCTAGTGAAACGTTAATAATATATGAACTATTTACTATTTATGCAGTAGCTGGATTCATTGATTATTATAAACTGCACCTATACCTTTTATAGATGTGAACGTGCACTGAAGAAACTCGTCAATCTAAATTAATAAATTAAGCTGCTAACATTTTCTGGAATGCTTTGCACAAAAGATTGAAATGCACAGTACAATTTGGTTATGTATGTGATGGTGAATCCAACCAACGCTTGTTGCTTATTTAACTATATATAATCATTAGATTAAACACCGTCAATTTGTTTGCTACGAATTGATAGTCAACCATACAAGTCTAATATGCACTTTGATGTCATTAAGAACAATAATTACTCGATATACAGGTTTACGGCAACTTATAATAATTACATTTTTACGATGCAAGTTAGCTGTTTTCAAAACCTCTACAAGCTAAAGCTAGTTCCAAGCGTATTTCATTTTATTTTCCATTCAACTACAACAGTTCATCGAGTATCGATGATTACGCTTTGATCCCATTAAGAACAATAACTCGATATACAGGTTTACGGCAACTGATTTTTACGGTCCAAGTTAGCTGTTTTCAAAACCTCTACAACAAGCTAAAGTTAGTTTCAAGCGTATTTCATTTTATTTCCCATTCAACCACAACAGTTAATCGAGTATCAATGATTACATCGCTGAATCCCAAAAAACGAATCGCTATTTAAAATGACTTGTCGAATTAAAAAATTACTCATACAGTGCATCGCATTGATGATAGCTAAGACATTGTTAGTTACTAATATACAGTACTAAAGCATTGTTCAACAACAGCTTAAAAAACAGCGATACTAAAAACCAAATATAGTAGTGCCAATAGAATAGAATAGACTGATACATGAAGAAGTATGGCTCGGCAGCTAATAATTATTATCATAGCTCACAATGTATGTTTTTATCACTTCTGCATTTCGATATAGCTGCAGAGTTCGTCAAGATAATAATGATCAAGATGACAGTATTTCTACGAGTAGAATATACAGTAGTATAAAATGACAGTGCATTAACAAGGTTACTAAACTAGTTCATAGGCGGTACATTTTCGTAGTAAAGATAGCTCAAGTGAATGACATCATGAACCAATATGGGCATCATACAATGCACGACTATTTTACTATTCTTTGAAGTTAATCCATCTAATTCAAAGAATAATAACAAACTAAGATGAAATTAACATTTGAACATTGAAAGTCAAAAATATCAGATACAGGAAAAAGTTCCAGCCTTTCACAACAGACAACAACGTAAATATACATGAATGTAATACGATGCAAATACTACTATAGCACGAATTACGATAATTTATGGTGTCGATACTGTTTGTCAAAACAGGTTCGTTAGTCAACAATTTCCAAACTAATCTCTTCTCGTTTACCATCATTTGCCCAGGTGCTTGCTCTAACTTCTTCCGAATCATTGCAAACTATAATCAATCGATACATTTGCAGCAGCAGAATTAAAATATTTTTAGCGGTGAAAAAGAGAAGCATTGGGCTCATCACTCCGAGATAAAGCAAATAGAATCGAAGTGCTAAGAAAGGACAGTCTTGCATGATAAGAGCGGTCAATGGAGTTACAATTTCAGGATGGCAACATCCTATAGCACTAGCATCTTCCGATCGCGTTCGTCTGACAGAGTTATTACTACCCATTTCGTCAGGTCTTACATGAACACGACTGCCTTTGGTATTTGATTTAAAAGATACATAGACCACCGTATACTGCAGCAGGCTCCAACTCCAAGCCGCCATGATAACCATAACCAATAACCGATTGGATCTGACAATGGGTTCTTTAAATGTCTCAAATAACTCGATAATATCCGCAGCAGTACCAATATAGATTAAAAGTAACTGCGATCGCTGATTGCGAGACAACTTGCCAAGTGGAGCGAGCCATCTTCCGATAATAAGGATGAAAAGAGTTCCTTGTTCAACGGCCAGCAACCAATTTTCCTTCTGTTGTAGTGCGCTATACAACTACGTGTGTAATTATAGTAATTTAACGTTAGTATCAAGACTTTATATTGCAATTGGCTTTTCATTTATTTCAGCTAAAACAATCTATTCAGCAACTTATTTTCTTTTTGTTGTACAAGGCTTCCTTAGAATTGACTATTTATCTATTGAAGCTAAAGTAATGGACAATGAAGCAGGCCATTTTCTTTCTGTTGTAGCGCTGCATATCACTACGTGAACGAAGTGGATCTATACAGTAGAGTGAAAGTATGGCAATGTACCGTTATTAATATCAAGGCTTCCTTGGAATGGACTGTTTATTTATGCAATACGTAGTAAGCTAAAGCAATCGCCATTGCAAGCCGCCCATTTTCTTTGTGTTTTAGCGCTGCATATCACTACGTGAACGAAGTGGATCTATACAGTAGAGTGAAAGTATGGCAATGTACCGTTATTAATATCAAGGCTTCCTTGGAATGGACTGTTTATTTATGCAATACGTAGCAAGCTAAAGCAATCGCCATTGCAAGCCGCCCATTTTCTTTGTGTTTTAGCGCTGCATATCACTACGTGAACGAAGTGGATCTATACAGTAGAGTGAAAGTATGGCAATGTACCATTAGTATCAAGGCTTCCTTGGAATGGACTGTTTATTTATGCAATACGTAGCAAGCTAAAGCAATCGCCATTGCAAGCCACCCATTTTCTTTGTGTTGTAGCGCTGCATATCACTACGTGTACGATGTGTATACGCCTATATACAGTATAGTAAAAGTGTGGCAATATACCGTTATTCATGTCAAGGCTTCCTTGGAATGGACTGTTTATTTATGTAATGCGTAGTAAGCGTAAGCAATCGCCATTGCAAGCCGCCCCTTTTCTTTCTGTTGTAGCGCTTCATGTATCTACGTGTACAACGTGTATCTATGCAGTATAGTGAAAGTATGGCAATGTAGCGTTCGTTGGAATGGACTTTTTATGCACTAATACGTAGTAAGCTAAAGCAATCACAATTGCAAGCCAGCCATTTTCTTTTTGTTCTTGTGCAGCATACAACGGCACGTAGACAACTAGTGATAGTAATCTATCTTGAGTATCAGGCCTTCTTGGAAATTGACTGTTAACCTATTTAATAAGCTAAAGCAATCCATGTCAGCAAGCCATTTTCTTTCTATTCATTCTCGTATGTCATTCAAAATTACTTGTAATTAACTGTTGATTAATTTGTAAATCATTCCCACTTGCAGTTTAGCAACGCAAGTAAACTACTACAGTAATGTTGAGTAGGTTAGTCTATACAAGACTGAATTAATATTTATACAGAATAATACTCATTAATTTTTCCTTTATAATAATGATCATTTACTTGGAAGCGCACAGCGAGCCATTACTGTACCATACGACACACAAAGGTAAAATGAAAAAATAAGCATCACAATAGGGGTTGTTTTTTATTCTCTAGTATTATTCTGGTTATTACGTCCGATCAATGAGAAATTACGTCGCCATTTTACCATTTTCCCTGTTTACTGTGACAAATTAGGTCAATTATCATAATTAATAGGGGGAATACAGTAGTTGTAGAGTGAGAAGGTTGATGACTAGAGTGTTTTTACGGTTTTACTTTTTTAAATAAGTCCACTGCTGCTACTACTACTACTGTCTGTGGTTCATATCGAGAAGAGAGATTCTTTCTTAAGTATAGAATAGCGTTAATCTTTCTTAAGTAGAAAATAGCGTTCAACCGTATTGACGAGATGACCACCCAACAGGATTATTGATCAACTGTGTGATTACCGTCGATATCGAATGACGTACTGTAGACTTAGGATCATATGTAATATACCAGACATATTTTCATGTTGACGAATGAATTATTGGAATATTTTTGATAGGGAATGGAGTCATTGGTCACGGACAGTAAATGATGTCCGCGTACGCGTCCATAAAACAACATTGTACTACGGTAGCATACCAACGATATTTCTTTCTTATTCAATCAAAAGGAAGTTGAAAAGGGATCGCATGACTGTTATTGCAGTTACAATTGGGCACCCCAAAAAAATAAAAAATCAAGATTAATTAAACAAATTGGTTGGAAAGTTAGAATGACACACCTGTTGGAATCCAGACGATTGTGGTTGTGATTGAGCCGACTGTTGAGCAGCGAGACATTGTAACGTTAAATTTTGAGCACTATCTGCAGCAGAAAGTTCCAATATCCAGACAGAAGGAACAAGTCCACACAAGTAGATGAAAACACTGGGAGAAAACCTGATTGATTAAGAAATGATTGTTATTCAACGTGTTCCGATCAGTTTCAAATATCGTCTCTCTCATTTTTGACGACAGTATTGTGAATTCAGGATAAAAAGAAAAGGAAACAATTCAAGACAATGTCGTCTGGCATTAGTGCCAAGGTACTCACCATCCAAGATCTCGACCATCTCGAAAGTACAGTGTTATAACACCTTCAACGAGCAATAATGCAATTGAAGTAGTGAGAGCAAAATAATAAGCATTTCCTGTCTCGCGAAAAACCCGATAGATCGCTAGCGCAGCATGTCCAGCATATAAAGTACGCGCAACGACTCCTTTTAGTATTCTCCATGTCGTATTGCCCATTGCGAAGTCAGAATATAATCAAGCGTTGGTTTCTCAATCAGTCAATCCAATGGTCAATGGTGAAAGGCAATATCGCAAGCAGTGATCGTCAGCCGATGGATAAGAATGAATAGGAAAGGATTGAATAAATCAATGGCTGCAGCCAACACTGGTTAATTGTACAGTAAAGTGAAAAAGGAAGTAAAAAGGCAAAGCTATTGCAAGCGAAAAAGCGACAGGCCGCTCGCTAGTAAGGAGAAAATACAGCCTACGGTTTGTTTGCTATTTTAATACTTTGCCGCATCTACAGATGGACAGGCAGACTGCAGATGGTGCGCCAATGAACAGTGTACTGAGTATTTGACCATGCCTGTACAGTGTACAGTACACAGTGTACAGTACAGTACGGTAGTCATCCCAAAACAAGCAATCTCATTTCATTGGTCAAAGTGTCATGATGTCATCTCACTACTGTATATGTCACTATAGACTCATTGGCCAAAGGGTCATGACGTCATCACACTCCTGTCATGTACACTTGTACAGTGTACAGTACAGTAGTGTGCAGGATGAGAAAATACTGTACTGTACACTGTGGGATACGGATACAGTACCTAGTTTGGGCCAATGAGAATCAGAGTACTGTACAGTACACTAGAGACCCTGTACTGTACAGTACTGTACACTGTACAGTATGAGTCTACAGTATGGTGTACTGTACGGTGTACAGTGTACAGTACGCTAGTATACTCGGTGATAGCCATGAAGGTCTGTGAAAATGCAATGTCTTGGAATAAAATGTCTTTCTACTTCCAGTATACCGTAGACTGAGACGAGAGAGAGAGAGAGAAAGCTGTTTCAGAGAAGAGAACTTGATTACTCTGAAGTTCATCAGGTACAAGATAGAGAGAGAGACAGACAGTACTGCTACACAGAGAAAGGATTCTGAACCCAATACGCTAACACACATGATTGGTAGATAAGTGGGCAATAATATTCCATGTCTCACTGGGAAATGATGATACTGTACAGAGTACAACTATTTCTTCAAATGCACTATACTCCAGTGTTGTCAGTCCAGTGCAGTCCTTGTAACTTTCTTCTTTTTTGTCGACCGCAAGTGATACACTAATACAAATCATGTTATTACTCCTACTGTACAGTGTACACTACTAGTATGGCACAACGTCGTGTTTTGATTTATAGTCCGTCGGCAAGAATACCACAAGAAAGAGCTAGTTACATCGAAGAATACAGCGTATCGATGTCACCTATCGACAGTATCTCCTTTTTTTTAGATAATTCGACTGCAAACAGTGTATCTAGGAAGCATATCCATGTCACCTATCTACCTGTTTTTGGGGGAGATAATCCAACTGCAAATTTTCTTTTTCATGTACAGTATTGCTTTGTGCAGACTATGTTCCTGTTCAAATTGCCATATTACACTACACAACAGGCATAGTACAGTCAGTATACAGTACTATAGTCCTCAGCGTTGTGTATACAGAGTGTGTACTGTACTAGAGACTGCTAAAATGAAAGAGACGAGACAGGAAACGCTAGTTGGCTATACTAATCATGTTCAGACTGATTCCATTAACTGGCCATTTCAACTGTATTTTACGGTACACTGGCTGCGATTGACGTGGCAATGAGCTGCTATGAGCCTGCAACGTTGATTTTGTGCAGTATAGTATAACGTTTTATCGATAGTGTAGAGTAGAATGAGCATAAAAATGATAAGCCTGCACATTCTTTGTGCCCTGTGGTCGTCGTTTCCTGTCGCATCTCTTTCTTTTTGGATTAGTCCGTTGTCGAGGTCTGGCGAATTCTTCTTCTTCTTCTTATGACGTTAGCTGGAGATGAACAATCTGTACAGCGCAGGTCTGTCTGGTCTGTCTTTGTTGCAGCCTGGACAGTACGATAAGCTGCGTACTTTGTACTCTAACAAGGTACTCAGTACAGTGTCTACCGGCAAAATATGGGTAGAAACGTACTGTACTGTACACTGTACAGTACTGTACAGTACTGTACAGTAGGCAAAACAATGATCGTACAGTACGGTACTCAGTCGATTCACAGTACTGTACTGTACGACTGAAGCCTACAATACTGTACAGTCCATTAGTGAATGGGGCTCAAGTTGATTGAATCACAAAACAACGATCGTACAGCACCGTAGTCAGTCGACTTACAATGTGTACTGTCACTACTGTGCGACTGAAGCCACAATACAGTCCATTACAGTAGTGAATGAGGCTCAAGTTGATTGAAGACCTTCGACAGGTGTAATTGTAGTCAGTCGACTCACGCACCAAAACAACGATCATACTGTACTTTAGTCAGTCGACTCACTGTACAGTAGTGTGCGACTGATGCCTACAATACAGTTCATTAGTGCATGAGGCTCAAGTTGATTGAAGCGCAAAACAACGATCGGACCGTTATGTACAGTACACTGTACTCAGTCGACTCAGTGTACTGTGCATACTACAATACTGTACAGTCCGTTCGTGAATGAGACCCAAGTTGATTGAAGCGCAAAACAACGATCGTATCGTACTGTAGTCAGTCGACTCAGCGTGCGCCTGAAGGCTACAAGACAGCCCATTAGTGAATGAGACCCAAGTTGATTGAAGCGCAAAACAACGATCGTACTGTGCTGTACTGTATAGTACTGTAGTGAGTCGACTCAGTGTGCGCCTGAAGTCTACAAGACAGTCCATTAGTGGAGTGAATGGAAGCCCAAGTTGATTGAAGTGCAAAACAACGATCGTATCGTACTGTACAGTACTGTAGTCAGTCGACTCAGTGTACAGTACATTGCGACTGAAGCCTACAATACAGTCCCTTAGTGAATGAGGCTGAAGTTGATTGAAGCGCAAAACAACGATCGTATCGTACTGTAGTCAGTCAGTCGACTCAGTGTGCGCCTGAAGCCTACTGTACAGTCCATTAGTCAATGAGACCCAAGTTGATTGAAGCGCAAAACAACGATCGCATCGTAGTGTAGTGAGTCGACTCAGTGTGCGCCTGAAGGCTACAATAACAGTCCATTAGTGAATGAAGCCCAAGTTGATTGAAGCGCATTTTACCCACAATCCAAGCATACAAAATCTTGTTTGTAGTGGCGTCCAACATCATCTTGATTGATTTTTAGTTGCTATCTTAACGGGAGAAGACATCCATTTACAATCAATTTATCTGCAAGGATGGCGGACAAAGATATAAAGTAAGTTGGAAATGTTGTAGCGTAATGATGGATGGATTGATTGATGGCCACGCGTATTGTGCGTTGATGCTTTAACACGGCTACCATCGGTAGCGATGTTGACGATGAAGTTGGGTTGCAGTGGTGTCGACAACGTTTATCCCCACTGCTTCTTCCTCCGTTGGACGAGTCGATCTTATTTGACAAGGTTGATCATCATGATTGATTTTTCAACGTACGATGGATGCCATGGCATAGCCAGTTAGGCAGCCAATGCGTTGTTACAGATCATGAGTATGTCGACACTTTCGCCAATCGATGTATCTTGCTGGATACAGATCAATTGATATCAACGACAATCCACATCAATTTAGAGTATTGGACTTGACCCAAGGCTATGGAAATACTTTCCATAGCCTATCCTACATGTTAGACTCATCATTGCTGATCGCATGATGAGTCGCTTCTTTCAACAGGATAACTTCTTTCCCATGGATGTCCTGTACCATGGGTAGGAAAGACTTCAAATCAATCCATTCTCCCTAACCCAATCGTCAACCATTTGCAACCATCATCCTCAATCAGTTACAAATACATTGAAAGGTAGACGGGATCAAAAAATCCCTATTCATCCACAGTCTCCATCTTGCTACCGTCATCAACCTCCAACTAGAAATCATCAAGCGATCCCTTTAATTACAGACATCAAACCACCAGTATTAGTGATCGTACAACAGCTGCAACCCACAAGTCAAAGAATCACCTTTTCATCAAGTTGAAATGATTGATTTCACTTGTTTGTACGGCAAACAACAGTCCAACATGGAAAAAAAAAGGCAATCTACAACTCCAATGCAAGCCATGTCATACTCAATCGATAGCCTAATGCTCTACTTTTTCTTCATTTATAAACCCTACCATGACCATTATCCATAACTAGTTTTTCCCTTTTACCCAATAGCAACCTACTGTACTGGTCTACTGGATAGTCGGCGGTACTCTTTGCTTTTTCCATTCACTCACTCAGCGTACTGTAGACAGCGCAATGGATAGACTTGAAAATGATTTATATAAAAAAAAAAGCAATCACTATGTTAGGATCGCTGACAGCTGCAGTCGGTATATCAACGCACCCATTCTCCTCCTCGACTAAAACAGACACAGTACAAACGTTATGCTAGATGGTCTACTTTTCCCTCATGGAAAATTCCATTTTACCCATCAACTTTATTCCAATCATTTCCTGCCCGCTAACGCCATATTCCCTCCATATTCCAGTGAGGCAAAAGAATAGAACAACAGTGCACTTATTGTGTGATTGAACTATTCTTCTAGCATGAGGCTTGAATAAGGAGATTGATTCTACAGTATTGTACTTTTTTTTTTAAACTACCTATGGGTCAAATTTTCCATTTGCATCCTCCACTAAAATGACAACACAACCTCGTTTATCCAATATTGTGTAATAGTATTCACCTCTTTTTCCCCTTCTGTCATCCAATTAGGCAAAGTAAGCGACTACAGCAAACTCAAGCGCAAGTTGATGAGGTAAGATGCTGTTTTTGTTACTAAACTTGAAGAATACTGTCATACATAATGTATCTCTATCACCAACATGATCGTCAAAATATGTTCAATTCTTTTCCCATTTGGACTTGCTATTGTCGACAAAGTACGGACGTACGGAGAGGATTGCGTCCATCTTGTAGTCAATACAATCCATTTTTTTTTCCCCCCCCCCCCCCTACCATTCGGTAAGTATTTTTGAAACGAAATCAAGTATCTATTATCGTCTGGTACTTGTCGATACAAGAATGTACAAATGCTTGATAGCCTCTCGTTGTAAAAGCAATTTTCGTCTGTTGACTGTTTCGTATTTTAGGGGGGGGGGAATTTTTTTTATTTTTTTATTGACTTTATCCCTGTATGATGATGATGATGATATTGGAGATGATACTTTCAAACTGCAGGCCTATCGATACCCCTTGTAGTACTCCAATTTACAAAGGACAGCAATCTCTCTCTACGCAATTTTATCCAAATGATGATGATGCAGTGGACTTAAACAAGATAATCTTGAGTTTACAACTTGCAGTAAGGAAATGATTGCAGTTCCAATACCCAATAAGTACGTAATGATCAATTACTCAAGTAGTCATTGCACTTTTCAAGCACTTGGCCTTGGACACAACTTTTAGTCTATATTCAGCCAATACACTACTAAACTTGGACAACATCGACTGTGGCAGCAAACACTCCGCCATACATCACAGTCCAGCATAATGTAGTCAATCATACTCAATTAAGTCTATTATTCACAGTCAATCCGTCTGTTGATGATGTGCATAATGAACTCGATCTCTTCCTTCCAATTTCTTCCCTTCGCCATCCGATGAAAGCGGTCAAAAATGGCGCTCTCTATTTTGGCTGGAATAGTGCTACACTAGAGTGGAAATCAACTTACATCCAACATCGACTTTTGCGCGACAGCAACTATTGTCTTATCGTGGTAGTAACTCGATTACTAAAGACTTGGCACGGCATAGGATTTGCACCTTGACGAAGGCTATTATTGATCATCGTGTCCGTCCGAAATTCTCAAGGGACAAAACAGTATAGAGAAAAGAAACTACAGTACGCTACTTGAACTGCTACCAACGAAAAAATGGAAAACTACAAGGCCTTGCATTTTCTTTCATGATCACTTCCTTATTCGGTCATAATGAATCATCATCGATGATGTCAAATACATCAACGTCCCCAGTAGTTAAATTGGAAAGAATGAATGATTCCTCCTATGAATAAACCGTCCTATTTTGATAATGAGGATTTCGCCATTGGTGACTAAAATCGATGCTGGCGTGTGCCATAAAATGCAACATTCATACTACAACATGCATGAAAATCCATTTTAACACGCTATACTTTGTGTACAGTATGTTGAAACACCATGATGGATGTTCATGTCGTAGTCCTCTAACATTATTCTATCCATGGATGATGTACAAAGCATAAGAAAATTGCAATTACAATAATTATCTTTCAAATGGCGCTCTTGTAGTCAGTCATACGCTACCAACGATCCAATCGAACCACTACAGTACTGCAGAAAAAAAATTGTTGTTCTTACTATCGCTGCTGTCAGTACATCATTTCTTAAACTTGATCAATTCAACTCTATCATGAAGAGAGTTGAACGATTATACACTTATTAAAATGTTTATGATACCAGACCAAACTGATTGACTTATTCAATTTGTATCAAATTTATTAAGGTTGTCGACATCATGAGAGTAAATGTCGATAAAGTTTTGGAACGTGATCAGAAATTATCCGAATTGGACAACAGAGCTGGTAAGGATATGCTTCTTCTTATTCTATATATATCTATAACGTAGAAAGAGAGAAGCGTCGATACGAGTAAGAGCAGATATCCATGGCGAGTTGAAACAGTCTACCCCCGATTTTCCTGTCATGAAACACTTTTCTTCAAATCACCTATATATTCTTATATTTTTGAATGCGCTTTCAGGCATGCCATCACATTGTCCTACAATATTCTGGTCTTGATGATAGATATGGCGTTATGGAGAAATGATTAGCATCATTTTTCCCTATCTTGTAGTCAATTATCTCTTCTATAGCGTAATTATACTATATGGTGAGTATATACACTACCGTTGACGATCAACTCGCTAGTAAGAAATGAAGATTAGCTAAATTAGCTTTTTTAATTGTGAAGCTACTACAAGGAATAATGTATTTAGATACCAAACATAGAGCAGCAGTGATTGAACAGTACTCGACTTGAGATTCGCTTCTACCGTCTAATTTCTACATCACAATATACCTATACACTTTATTTCCGTTGTCTGTGAAAGTGTGCCTGTGGACGAGAGATGATAGAGCTCTACTATACCATTCTTTTTACTATTTCTAGCTTGTATTACTTTTTTAACCTGTATATTTCATAAATTAGGAAATCATACGGTGATGTACAATTAATTTTCTTGTTCTAATATACCGTACTGTATACACTACGTCAAAGTTTTCCCCTCTCATATTAGTATATCGATAACGCTATAAATTTTTTAATTTATAGCGGGTGCTTATGCAATCGTATGCAGAGCAATCAAACTTTAGAAATATGCACCTTATCATTGATCAAACCTTCTGTCATAATTGTTTACAATCGATGAAATCATAATATTAGTTCTTACCGTATAATCGTCAAAGTAAATGTTACGTGTTTGATGTTTTATGTTACAGTTGTAGATGTATAGAAATTAGCTTTTTTAACAATTCTGAATGAATGATCACACTGTAGTGATACCGATAGTGTGTTGCTAATAGTAGTCATAACACACTCTAGCTAGTGCAGAACATATTTAGCGCAAAGATTGAATTTTCCCCCTGATTGATCAAATAATATCATTCATACGTGTATCCACCCCATGCGTATATCCTCCCCCCTTCTGAGCGATTTTTCAAGGAATCCATGAATGTAAATCAATCGCGCTTCATTTTGTAATCAATACCAAATTCACATTAAAGCTCAATGATTGATATTTATTCACTAATAAAACCCACACTTTGCTACCTATCACAATATACAGATGCGCTACAAGCTGGAGCTTCACAATTTGAACATAGCGCTCATAAATTGAAACAGAAATATTGGTGGAAAAACATGAAGGTTAATTGAAGAAAAATTGATTATAATATTATTAGCCTATAGACTTAGTAATGGAAATGTAGCTATTGTACTATTTAGCAATGATTATTCTAATTTAAAATGATATTAAATACTCCGTCGTAAGATAACTCCACTTTCATCATCGATGCAATATCAATGCAATAATGTATTCTTCTTCTTTTTTCTAGATGATGATTTTGCTTGTAGCAGTCATCCTTATAATCCTCATTGCGATTGTCAGTACGTTCTGTAATATATTCATGCATCGTATTATTCTAATCTCTATCATAAGCGAATTGTAAGATAGCTACAAGAATGGAGATCGATTGAATACAAAATTATACAAGAGTGATTATTATTTAAATGATCATTAGGACCAATCCTTTGATACTAATTTCTCTTATTTACATTCCTTAATTTGCTTTAGTTTGGGTAGCTACAAAGAAATAGCCAAACAACAATGATCAACATTGATTACAATCAACTTTCGACTCCATTGATTGTATTTCATGCATTTCATGATATTTAGAATCAAATTTCTGAATTGTTATTATGCGTAGTCACTATTACATATCCATCAAAAAATTATAGACTCGTTATATTTAATGTTATAAATATAGCTTCCCGGTTTTTATGACCCATATCATTATCGCATGCATTAGCGTGTGCTAACTAGAATTTATCGTTGCTTTTAGATTCTTGTAATGTAGCATAAAAGAAACTCTCTATATATTTGTCTCTAAACTAGTTGTATCAATTTTAGGGATTAGCTTTAAGTTCAATTATTATTATTATTATTATTTAAGCCATATTTAAAAATTAATACCACGTGCTGCCATAAATCATCCATTATTATTACATGTATCCCAATTTTCAGTAACAGAAACTGAATATGCATATACTAGTACTACTTGAAAAAAAAGATATTGTGTATGTGTACTATCTAATATAGTCTAGCATTAATAGTAGGTGATTGATTTGAACATGATTAATCCTATACAGTATTTACCAATAGAGGTATCCCTATTTTAATAGGAGTTAATTAGTGTGCATTATTATAGCATAAGCCATCATTTCCGATTATTCTAGTGGAGTAATTGTTGACCCGATCGACGGATGCTCCAGTCTTACTTGATAGTTTTATCTATAGCATATTTAATCAAAGAATTCTATGAAATATATTATCTCTTCCTGAGCGCTATGACACTACGCCATTAATTCCTACGCAGAGGATTTACAAGGATCAATCCAATAAGGTAACCGAGATGGATTAAGTGCCTTTTTTGGATAGATCTTTATGGATAAAATGCTCACCTTTGATTAACACCCGAAAAATGATGTAGTGATGTCTTATCAATGAAATTAATGGATGTACGTATGTTATTTATATAGCAATCTATAGAATACTTATCGAGATAAAACCGAATATGCCGTAGCTGTGAACGGGGTTGTCTGTTCATGATACGTGAATACATGTAAAATTAAAAGCAATTGAACAATTTCTCTCTTGTCATGATCCTTCGAGTAGAATTGAACGGTATTAGTAATGACTATTTGCCAAATTGCAGGATACTGTAATAGTGTTGGAACTGAATTGATTCGATCAGTTGGCCATTGCCTACCATAATGGTAATACTATCGATATGATTGGATTTTCCAAGCAGTATTGCTACTAATAGTACATGGATAATAACTAGTTTCACTCAGCTACATAACTTAATTGATTAATATACTGATCGCCATACACACGCAAAATAGTGTCAATTCAACGCTCTTCTAGGAGTATCGATTTCAATAGTACTTGACTTAAATAATTGTAGAAATGCAGTTCAATGCTATTGCAAAGTACTTGACGATATACATCAAAATGGAGAAGGACATCAATCAATTTATACACATGTAGCAATTAATCTAGCAATTACTTTCAACAAGACATTCTAAAATTGTTGTTGTTGTAATGATGATCTTTACGGAAGTTAGAATGCTACATTATGCTATTTTCGTATACTGCTGCAGCGTTCTTTCTTCCACGTCACTTCCTTGAGCTTTTCTTTCATCCAAGACTATAAAAATCTCTTTCAATAACTGTCGATTCCACCTAGACTCCAATGGACGACTAAATTACATTATTCGCTCGGATAACATTCCATTTTTATGGTGTTTGTAAGTATGTAAGAGATCAAAGGAGCGGATTTTAAATTTGCCATTACGATGCCAAAAAAAAACAGCGTGCTATCGAAAGAAAGAAGGTAGAGAATGGCTCTGTGCCATTGAATATAAATACCAGTAAGTACAAAAACTGATGAATATATCAAACATTGGTCTGTACTTTCCTTAAATAAACTGACAAAAATGGGCGCAGCGAAAAACTAGTTCGAGTTCGATTAGCAAACTTTGAAAGTAAAATTTTCTTTCTTTCAATAAAATTGACAAAAATCGGCGTGGCTAAAACGAGCTCGAGTACGATTAGCAAACTTGGAAAGTTGAATGTTCTTTCTTTCAATCAATTGACAAAAATCGGCGTGACTAAAACGAGCTCGAGTACGATTAGCAAACTTGGAAAGTTGAATGTTCTTTCTTTCAATAAACTGACAAAAATCGGCGTTGCTAAAACGAGTTCGAGTACGATTTAACAAACTTTGAAAGTAAAAAATGTTTTCAACTGCATGACAATTCCCCCAATGGTAGATCCTGGACATCAGCATACTACTAATCATGATGATATCAACTGCAATACCAATTACTCCTTTCACCCTATTATCAATATAGTATTCAATACTCAACAAATTCGATCAATTAGGATGCTGACTACTGTTTTAATTGATCAAATGGTGATGACTTCGTTCTGCTGTATTGTAGTTATTTCAGTAGTAGTATAAAGCTTATCGTACAAAAATAGAGGTATCGAAAATGGAAACTTCTCGCAATAGTGAAGGCACCTCTGGATTGAAAGCAACTACTTGGCAGTTGAAATTGGAGCACGTCTAACTTGACTACAGACTAAAATACTGTACATAATTTTATTGTTAGTAAATTAGCAAGGCCAGACTTTACCCTATAGGTCAATCAATGAATACTACTGACTGTATTGAGAATTGAGCAATGCAAATACTTGCATCTTGAAGTCTTTCAATGGAGTCCTTTTATTTACAATACGCTTGCAAACATTTCGTCAAGAAAAGAATCATGCAATGTTAACAGGTCATGTTCAATATTATAGTTATATACAGAAAAAGGGAAAGTGTATTCCATCGAAAGGTTGCTCGAACACAATCATGTACATAATCGTCCTAATGTAGCAATAAATTGACGACTGTAACAAAAAAGGTCAATTGGTAAACACTGACGGTTATGCAAAACTCTCGATTGAATTATTTTGTACACCAATAGTTACTACGGTCGAATAATATCAAATATTCTACTTAACCAACTTCCTACTGCATAAATTTCAACACTAACCATTAGCCATGTTAATCCATATTTCTACACAAAGTACATCTAATATACATTTACGCGTACATGTTATAGCTATTGAACTGGCAACTATTCAACGAATTGCAATACAATTTTATAGACATTCATCCTGCAATACTTGTATGGGGTGATTTGATAAAAAAAAATAATAATTATGATAGAATAGAGGTAAATAGGGTTCATTTGTCAGCATGGCATACAATCAAGATTCCAACGTTAGCAAAAAGCCCATATAATACTCTACTCCAAAGGAAGATAGCTCTACGCGTTATTCTATGCATTGAGCAGAATCTTCAATTCTCTTTTTGATAGCATACGCGTAGATGATTGCATTGGCCATCAGGGTAGATAGGATGATGAAGACTACATCGATTCTGAACTATTTTCTTTTCTTACTTGGTGCCATTTGGTAACTATTGGCATTTTTATTGCCAGAATGTTGTGTACAACTAGGGCAGATCCAGTTACCAGATGGAATGCTATCCAGTCCGACGCAAAATGTATGATAGCCTCGATCACAACGATCGCAAAACATCATCTTATCCTCGTCATAAGGATCGCTGCATGCTGTGCACGTTTTGCAATCCATGCATTGCCAATGGTAGGTTTGAATGACCTTGACCATTTCAGGCGTTAATTCAAGGCACGTTGGATGTGTTAAGCTGCCACATTGTGAACATTTAATCAATTCTTCAATCTCGCCTAAATCATTGACATATTCGCTAGCAAAGCATACACCGCATGAATTGGTTGATACTGTTTTATTGGCAGCTAGCTTTCCTCTGGCGTTGCCGATGTGATCACTACTGGAGTTACGACTAAGACCATTTTGACTGGTTTTGAGAGGTGTGTGGATCAATTCTTGTGGCTGATTACGAGATCGATCACTATCCATCGTTTTATTGCTATAATTGGACGCAGCAGAGAAGGTCTGGTTGCTATCCTCTTCATGGTTGGATTCAGTTGAATTATGGTCAGGATGGGAGTTAGTATTGGGATCAAATGGTAGTTTTAAGACAGTTTTGACAGGCATAGCTTTGAGTTGTTCAGGTGTATATCGATAGAAAGAGTCAGAATATTGGCCAGAAAGAATAGCAACAGGATAGCCACCTTTTCGAGTGTAATCGGGATGTAGTCTTAACGTTGTGTTGGCGGGTACATGAACTCGCTGTGTTTGTATATCGAAATAGCAGCCACGTTCTTCTCGACGCTCCTTAGCTAATTGACTATTAAATTCAGCAGCATGATAGACTGCTTCATTAAAAATAACTTGCTGTTTGCTGAGATTACTTAAATTATTAGCCGATGACGTTTGACGTCGTGGTTTCTCTGCCGCCCGACTGGAAGACATGGGTGCAGCAATTTTGCTGGATTTTGCATATTCTCGATATCGATCAGGATATTCATTTTGCATCACTTCAATAAGCTTAAAATTACATTGGATAGCAACTATTTTAGCAAGAGGTTTATTGTCTAATAATCCAATCTCTCTGAGATGTTGGCGTTCTTTAAGGCCAATTCGACGTCGATTTAAGGATAAATAGCGCTGATGAAAAGTAGGTTCATCTAGAAATCGGCTTAACAACGATTGCAATGCATAGTAATTGCCACTGGATGGTGGCCATTGATACTCAAAGAAAGGTAATTTTACTTTACGATTGCTTTTTTTAGCTTCTTTCCTACTGGCTTTGCGATTAGCCTTTCCATGCATCGTCGTTGTATTTTGATTGCTGGTTGTCTTGTCGCTCGATCGCTGAGACGATGCTAGGTCGGCTTTCTTCTTGGCAAGGACTTTATTGCGGTTTTTCCGACTGGATTTTCGGTAGGAGAGTGTCATTATCAAGCTATGCACAGTATTGAGTCAATTCTTGACACAATAGAGAGATGAAAGAGTCAAGTGATGAATAAGGAAAGGAATACAACTGGTTTCTCCTCGACTTTTAGCCTTGCTTCTGCTTTAAATGGAGGATTTGCAGTCATCGAAAGCCTTCCAACTCCACTCAGGGCTAAGGCTAGTGTCTGCTCTTTTTGGGCGACTCGACTACTTGCACGCTATGATTGTCTACACGCTGGTCAAAAGCTACTGCTTGGCAGGGGTATACGGTACCCATTACTGGGGGACCTTCGTCGTGGACTCATGGTCCATCAGCAGAGTGCCGTCATTCCGTCAGTCGGTGCACTCGCGGAATGGACAGAGTTGCCTCCATTTCCATCATGTTAATATACAAACTAGTGGATGGTAAAAGAAGCGTGTTTTAGCCTTGTTATAGTCGGTGTACTGTACAGGCTAGCCATTGGACTCCGACAACAACAACAAGACTAAAGCAGCTCACTGTAAACTTTGCAACCGATCTATTTACTGTAGAAATGAACCCAGGTCATGGATTTGTCTCATGTGACTGTGTACTTGAGGTCGATCCCTTTGCAGTGAGAGTTCCCGCATTTTAAACGCCATGAGCAATAAGCACCTGATTGAATCCTATTCCTATTTCAATCTTACAATTTCGTGTTAGAACAAGCACTGCTAGATGAAGGAATTCTTGGTGTACCATGTTGTAAACACCTGTATATTTTGCACATTTCCGGCTGGCCGGTGGTCGTCCAAAAGCAAAAGCATACAGGGACAGTCCGACCATTTAGTACTACTCTGGACCTGCAGTACAGCACAAGCCTGTCAATGCACGGTACATTGCACAAGTGCTCCATGCAGTACTTTACTAGTAGAATGCGAACTCCAATTTGCATGATCAATGGATCATTCATTCGATAGTGGTGAAAAATGGAAAGAAACTTGGTCTAAACAAATTGATTTTCCTGCACTTTGGATAGGGTTGAAAAGGGAGGCTTGCAAGATCAATCAATCTATCTATCTGTCCGTCCTGCAGCACAGCGTGCATGCGCAGTATGCAGTATGCGCTGCCTACGGGTACGGTACGCAGAGGTACCGCAACGGTACTGGTATTACACTCATGTCGAAGTGCAGTACTCAGTCACTATAGTAGCCAATGGTTGCAAGAGTCTGTGGTTTAGTACACTAGTCGTCAACCTATGCATTCGTATAGGGAGATCAGCGTGGATGCAGTGTTGACTCCAAGCTTGCGCTAGAAATCCTATTGACAACCATTACAAGATCGATCAGTCTGTCCGTCTATCCCACACTACAGCGTGCATGCGCAATATGAAGCAGACGCTGCCTACAGGTACGGTACGCGGAGGTACCGCAACGGTACTGGTATTACACTCATGTCGAAGTACAGTTTTCAGTCACTATGGTAGGTAATGGTTGCAGGAGTCTGTAGTTTAGTACACTAGTCGTCAACCTATGCATTCGTATAGGGAGATCAGCGTGGATGCAGTATTGACCCCAAACTTGCGCTATAAAATCCTATTAACAACAATCGACGGCAGCCATTGCCAATCCACCAAATCAATCTTGGAATTAAACCATCGCTGGAGAACCAGTTGGAATTATTACAACATCGTTATATGGAAACTGAAACCTTGACTGTAGTCATGCCTAATCGTCAAGACTTTGAAAAATTAGATATTAGCAAGAGTCGCTTTCCATATTGTATCGTTTGGACACCTATCCCCTTGTTGACGTAAGTCTTGCCAATGGAGGAGACGATGGATATCAATATCCATCAACACTGATGACAATCCCCTTGTTGAGTAAGAGGGAAATAATGCGTTCTACAAGTGAACCAATAGACAATCCATTCGGTTATTTGAATTAGGAGAAGATGATATAGCGTCAATGGTAGTTTAAGTCTAGGCAGAAATTGCATCAAGTCCATTAGTCTAATCCAATTGATCTCACAAATCGATTACGGTATCAAGTTAGGCCCAAAAGATGCGATAGGCTCCATCTTTGCGCGAGTCGAGAGTGATCCAATAGTAAAATTGAATAAGGATAAAGCACCATGGGCCAAGATGGACACCATGATGAATAAATCATTCTTTTTTGTTGTTGTTATTATTCATTAAAGATCGAATGCAAACATCATCAAATGATTCGTCATACTATACGAGTTATACGAGTACGGAGTAACCTATTTGTAGGCCTAATGTTGCTATTGATGATGTTGTTTATACGCCGACTGCACGCGTAGTACTATTTTCATAGCGTCAATAAAATAACCCCAGTTGTAATCTTTATCCTTGCTCTTTCTCATCAATAATAAGTAAAGTCGATGACGCTACACGTATGACTACCAGCCTAATGTTTTAACTTCTTTCGCCATGCAATTTGTAGATGGCTCTTTCCCTTCATTGGTCATATGGGAATTGCTGTATCATCTGGAGTGATTCGAGATTTTGCTGGACCATACTACGTTTCTGTAAGTTGAATCCACTCCATCGTCCACCATTGATAATAGTTTACATGAATTGCTTTAAACAAGATTCATCCATAAAATACTAGGACTAGAAAGTAAACCATTGCACGAACTAAAAAATGCGCATATCCATTTTTTATAAAGATTTGCATAATCATCCAATTGATCGACTAACGATAATGCACACCTAAATACCAACCTATCTCTAATATAGTCTATTATAATTATTGAAATGATAGGAAGATAACATGGCCTTTGGTAAACCGACTAAGTAAGTTGCGATACTCTGTAAAGGTAAAATGCTGCCTCACGCACCATAAGCATTCAACGATGGTAAATCTATTTTCATTTAGATATTGGCGATTGAAGCCGACTGGTGTTGCCCACGCCCATAACAACTGGGATAAAGCAATAGCGATTGCATCTGAGGAATATGGCCGTAGAATGGTAAGGAATGACCATCTGTAACTCTACATTTTTAAAAATTATACACAGTATGATTTTAAATTCAAAAAGAAAATGAAATCGATTTGATCGTATACATAAACAATAGTACAACTTATTGATTTATTTCTATCTTAATTCTGTAATTCTGATTATAACTATCATATAGCACAATCTATGTTGTGATAACTGTCATTCCCATGTTGCAATGGCCTTAAATCTAATGGAATATAATGGATCACAGAACTGGAACATGGTTAAATTAGCTTTTTTTATGCTTGTTTATGGCAAGTATGTTAGGTAAGCTATTGTCGAATTAAAATATTAATCGGATACAGCCTGTGTACAGACTAGCTAATAAGAGTAGAATGAATTTCACATTGCGTGCTTACATTGCCTTTCGTAAAATTCAGTTCTTGCACGCTATCGACGATCTTATCTGCTAATAAACGTCTGCATTACATATACTCAGTGTATACTCAAGTCTACGTTATATTATAATACCATCACCAAATAGTCTTAGTTTATGCGATACTAGCAATGAACTAATTATATATATTATATACGAGTATATATGAGAAGAAAAGTAAACTTTAAGCAAATTAACCATGTATTGTGTTTATGACGTATGCGCCTGTTTATAACCATCTCAGCGTTGGAGGATTCTTGAAAACATGGCTACCGTTCCTAATCTTTGCTTCAATCATTACGACGATTGTCCTTTGTGTCAAGTTTCTAGCTCCACAATAATGTCGCATCGACAGCATGTAATAGAATAAAAGATCTGTAATGACAGTTTGGCTAATAATATCTTAAAGTTACGATCGAAGGTACTCTATTATCATGGCTTGATGTGACTAATGTTATGATATTTAAAACATGAACACTGTACAGCTTGTTAAAATGATTTTACTCGTCACTGTAAAGGCTCGATTGTATTTGTTCAACAAACTACGATCTCAAGTATAGCAGTTCGAAATTTTATGATTGTTAATTGTATGTTTCGATCAAAGTTAATTATACCTTCTATAGCTTTATCTCAAATTGTAATGTATTCCTCTATAACTCATAGCATAATACATGTACATGTCGTCATGCACAATTTCGCGATTCATCAAATACCGCATAGTAGTCTATATCAAAACCTAACGACTATAAAAGATTAACAAGTACAATTTACAATTAGTTCTCAGTCAATTTGATAATCAATTTAAAACGCTCGCATTTTATTGTTCAAGTCAAATTTTCTATTTCACATTTTAATCCATAAAATCATAGTGTATTACATCGAAATGCAAATGGGAATAAAATGTTTTTGGGCTTAATACCAAAATATATGTATGACTACTTATTCTATGTAGCATTAACATAAGCATTTATCTAGATTTGGAATATTTGTCTACCTGAAAATATGTATTACTATTGACAGTAACGGCGCAATACTAAGAGCAATTGCATTTATTGCCAGTTTACTTACCCATTCATAGGTAGACAGTTAGCTATACTTAAACAACTAAATAATTTTCACATAAAATACGTATTTGCAAAATGATCATTTCAATTTTGTTAGAGCAACAGTTATGCCATAGACTGAAATAATATCGTAACATCGATTCTAAAAATTGAACGTACGGCCATACCGTACGTTCCTTGCACAACTACTGTAGAACTACTGTTCGCTTAATCTGCCTATACTATAGCTAGTAAAATCCGATAAATGTATGATCTGAAATAAATAACTGGGATATATCGCAGCGCATTTCTTGAACTGATGTGCAATTAATAATGAATACATGTACTAAGTTGCGAACAGATTGGTGTAATGTATAAAGCCAATTCTTTTTAAACTTTGACTTCGCCTGATTTATCATCCACAACATCAGCCTGTAATTCATCATCGGATTCATCGGAATGATCACTATTATTTTTCATACTAAACTTTGCAACAGCTTCTCTGACATCCTCTGGAATATCTGATTTCTCTTTCTTGCTAGAATCATCATTTCCCGTTAAATTACACTTTTCCTGTGAAATGTCTACTTTTTCTGATTCTGAATGGCAAAGATAGTTATTTTTTACTAAGCTCTCTTTGACAACTTCAGGAAAATTTAGCTCTGATATCATTTCCAGTTTGGAAGGTCCTAAAGACCGACGGATATTAATTTTGCACATCTGACTAAGCGGCATTGGGGAGCCTATTAACAGAATTAACTCAATTAAGGTCAATGCCTTAAAGCAGTACTGATCTCATAGCATTGTCATTATTGATGTTAAAACTACTATTATCTATCCAAATTAAATTTAAAATGAACTTACCATTAACTGATTGTACGATATTTTTCAAGAATGCAAATCTTTTTAAGTGTTCTCTAGTAGCGAATGGTCGATTATATTGTTGATCGACTAAATCTATCACCGTACTACCAGCATTATCGGGTACATTCACAGGTGCACCATATGAAAGCAACATTTGTACTAAGTCTTCACATTCTTGGCCGCTAGCAATAACTACGCAGAAAAATGAATAAGCACATGTTATACGGGGATGTTAAGATAATTACTGTAGATGTAATATCTTTGTAAAGGCTTTAAAATTGTTGGCAAAAGTAAATGTTATGATATACATTAATATGACGATAGATGATGAGTCAACTAGGTCAGCATAAAATCAAAATTTTAAAAAAATACAAATTAACAGATCATTAGAAAAAGAATTGATGGAGCCATCCAAAAATTAAAATACGTACTTTCATGCAATGGTGTCCGTCCAGTACTATTCTTAATAGCAACGTCAGCACCAGCATCCAATAACATTTGTACGCATTCCAAATTTAGACATTTACAACATGCATGCAACGGAGATTCTGCTTGAACTTTACTAACAATGTTACCAGCAGCCCCATGATCAATTAGTAATCGAAGTAAATCAGCACTGCCTTTCTGTGCTGCTAGAAGCAATGGTGTCTGTCCCCAAGATTCAACTGCATTAATATCAGCACCAAACTTTAATAGCAACCTTGCGCAATCGGATTTCTCAAAATAGGCAGCATTATGTAGCGGAGTACAACCAAACCTGCAATAAAGGTAAATACGCGTATAATGATTACGACTACTGCTATTAGTAGGCAGCCGAAAAAACAGCATTGACTTAGATGTTCTGATCTGTAGACCTTGTTATTTGTTGTTCTACAGTACCTTGTTCGTGCATCTACTTTACATCCATTATTTAAAAGTACTTCAACACATGATGCTCGTCCGTGATAAACAGCTAAATGCAAGGGGGATAATCCATTTACTTCCTTAGCGTTAGGGTTAGCACCTATGCAAGATAATATGAAAGGAATAGAAATAAATACATTCCAATTATATGGTTGATCAAATGAAATTAGTCGAAGAAACTATTTCTTGATAGCAGTTGACACAATACTTAGCGCAAATAATTTACCTGCTTGAAGCAATATCTTCACACAATCAGCGCCGCCAGAACTTGCAGCTAAATGTAACGGAGTTCGCTTAGTTTCTGGTTCATGGATATTAGCAGAAATTTTTTTATCAAACAGTAGCCACTTTAGATCGTCTTCACGTCCTTCGCGTGCTGCGTATATTAAAGATTGTTTGCAACCCATTGATTTATCTGATGAGGATCAATATTTTTAAGAGTATCAGTAATACTGTAATATCAAATTACGTAGTCAAATCAAGTTCTACTATATTCACTCTACACGAGTACATAGAGGGATGAATTTATGTTATTACAATCCATAAGAAAATTGATACGTTATTCTTAAACGTTCTCTAAGGCTAGTGAAGTATATATATATCACTGTACGTATATTGCATTATTTTTTTCTCTATTTCGAACATATGTTGGATTTAATTGATAATCAATTTATCATCATATGACTGAGAATCCTTCATTTTACTATTTCTCCTTTTTTTATACTGCAATTTGTAAGGAAATATCTTAAAAATGTCAATTCACCACCGCTACGAACAAGGTTAAGATATCGCATTAAAATTAAATAAATTAATTAAAGAGCTACGTCATATTTAAACGGTCTTGCATGTAATTGTATGACTTTATTGTACTGTACTATATGAAAAATAAATTGGCATATTACCCAATATTGCCTTATCTAAATACTTAAAAAACACTAGAATTGTGTAGGTATACTACGATACTCTCATTGACGTAAACAGTGTGCTGTGCCAATGTCTACCATTCCACTATTGTCAACACTATTTTTGCCTGTTAACATTGAAGAACACAGGAACACAAATATACTGTAGAACTATAAACTGACGTAATCACGTCTAATATTAGTTAATATGTCCACCATGTTTTAGTTTAAAAGGTAATGCAAGCTTCTTTCGCCAATAGAAATAGATCGGTTACTGGTAATGAGATGATAACATCATTTCAAATGAGGGCAAAATATCTAAAATATCTATCTTTGACATTTCATTGGGATATTAGTAATATGGAATCAACAGCCAACCGTATTCCAACGCCGTATGTCATGAATACTGTATACGTCATGATGAAGGTATACGAGACCATGGTATAAAAAAACCCTCTGCAAAATAATCATATCGGAAATTGTAGTCCTATCAATACGTAACTTGTTTTCTATTGTCAGCTCTATAGTGTGAATTATGGCTCATTTTCGATCATCTCTACGGTACAAGACATTGTAATGGAAAATAATAAATTGATTTAATACCAGTCCATTAACAAATTGCTAGCGCTGATTGCAAACTCTACAGGTTGATGATGCAAATAAACATATCCAAAACAATTGTATTTTTTCCTTCATCATTAGTATATTTAGTCGTTCCAATGATATTGACGGATGACATTGCCACAACTTTGTAGCATAATATCATTGATATGGATGTCATTTACGCAAGTTTCTTTTAACCTTGAAATCACGACAAGAATTGCCTATGAAATGATGAAAATATGATTGGGCAGTATGCCGTGTCCAAGTGGTTACAAGCCTTCATTTTTCGGCACACCTGTATTCTCGATCTTGATGCAAAAATATTCTTTATTTTCTACGGCAATCTTCATCACTATATTAACGATCGTAGAATGGACTTGATCCCACGATCGTGTTGGCATACAATATTCAGCATGTTATGTCGTTCTATCTTTATAGTATTACTGTAGTCTATTACACTCGCTGTTGATGTCCTTTCTAATCTTGCTCCACTTACCCTTTCAATCGAAGTAGACTCTAGGGTAATTGGCCGATCGATCGTCGCTCGGTATCAATTCTATTCGTAAGGAGGAGATAGGCTAAGGTGTAAACCAATACCGAAGTAATTAAAACGATGGACTATTCTGTAGATTAAAACTATCGATTAATTAGCCAGCGATGGCCCAATGAATAATGTATAGAATAGGTACCAATCATCGACTGGATTGGCAAGACTTTAGAATCCAGTCTGTTAACAATGGTCGCTTGTTGCTGAAAGCTGGAATATTGTCCGAGGAGAACGAGAATCGACTACAATAGCTACTCATGAAATTGTAATCATCCAAGAATCAATACACTATCAAGATCTACTCTTAACGCTTATGTTAGACTACTTAAGTCGATGATTTAATCCAACCAGCAAAACGAATTGGATTATCCTAATGGAAAGTGCAATCAACTAACCGGTTGTGTCCACGATGAAAAATGGCGATAACCAACTCATCCAAGCCCGAAGCTTGTTTACCCGTTTGACTACTGTCCCAACACTAGGATGTGACGTCACAACAGTGTACTGTACAGTACTGTACCTTGAGTGCATGTGACAACTCGGTACCATTTGGTCACTAACCGTGCTGTACCGTACCATGGTGGGAGTCGTGTATGACATTTTCACCCTTAAAGTCATTACAGCCTTACCCAGGTCTTGTGACTTCCAAGTGACACCAAAGTGCGTCAACTTGCCATTGGTTGGTGGTACAGTACAGCGGTAAGGGGATTGACATCATCTTGCCCTGTGCAAAATAGACGACCTTGTTGAGTATAGTGATCGACAGGTTATATAGTGACACACCATTCTGCACATGGATTGATGAAAAAAACCAAAGACACCCATAATTTTACTAGTCATTTCCAGTTTATTGCATGTCTGCAACGGTATGTCTATGTCATGGGTCGTGACATCCATCCTGTCCGTGATGAACGTTCAAATGTCGCCAAGAACTATGATAGAGTGATAGACACTTTGGCCTGTACCATAGAGTAAAATGATCGAAAAAATGAGAAACCTCTTCTATTATGTTGTACTAAATAGCTCCTTCTTGTCCCCTCGCTTATTACTAGTATGGCAATACAAATAGAAATACCACATGGAGTTTTTTTAATTTGTAATCATAGAGTGATTGGTTGATTCTACGTTGTCAGAGTTTATGGCAATAATTCATGGAAGGATTATGAAAGCTACGATTCAAGCCGTGTCGACTTGTTATTACAGTTTGCAATACTGTGAACTGGATTACTATACTGTACACTGTAGTGTATTCTGTATACAGTACAGTAAGTGATTTTCTCATCGATTCATTCTATAAACTAAGTAGAAACTTTCAGATCACTCAAAGTAGACTCTTTATTCATCGTTTGGGGGGGGGGGGGGAAACAGTCGGGAAAAAGGACATGGTAAAGCGCGGCCGGCCATTTTACTGGTCTAGTACAGTACTGTCGAATTGTTGGTGTGCTCAATGTAGGACCATAGCTGTTTCCAGACAACCTACAAATTCATCTTGCAGTAGCACAGAATCTTTAATATACGTGTACAGTATGGATACTCAACTTTGAGTGTTTCTAGTAGAAGAAAGAAAACCTTGTACTCATACTACCCTAATAATCTACTGTATGCCATACTGCAGCTGTAGAACATCCAGCAGTCCGTGGCTATGCCTTCTATTTTTGCGTCTTTCCTTCTCTCCAGCGGTCATCGAGCCATTTTAAAGTAGTGGAATTTCAAAACGAGTTTGCTGTAGTATGCACATCCAGTAGTCCATGGCTATGCATTCTATTTTTGCGTCTTTCCTTCTTCCCAGCGGTCATCGAGCCATTTTAGAGTGGAATTTCAAATCCAGTTTGCTGTAATACATCCAGTAGTCCACGGCTATGCCTTTTATTTGGCGTCTTTCCTTCTTTCCAGCGGTCATCGAGCCATTTTAGAGTGGAATTTCAAATCCAGTTTGCTGTAGTACATCCAGTAGTCCATGGCTATGCCTTCTATTTTTGCGTCTTTCCTTCTTCCCAGCGGTCATGTATATCCAGTAGTCCATGGCTATTCCTTCTATTTTTGCGTCTTTCCTTCTTCCCAGCGGTCATCGAGCCATTTTAGAGTGGAATTTCAAATCCAGTTGCTGTAGTACATCCAGTAGTCCATACTATGCCTTCTATTTGGCGTCTTTCCTTCTTTCCAGCGGTCATCGAGCCATTTTAGAGTGGAATTTCAAATCCAGTTTGCTGTAGTACATCCAGTAGTCCATGGCTATGCCTTCTATTTTTGCGTCTTTCCTTCTTCCCAGCGGTCATGTACATCCAGTAGTCCATGGCTATTCCTTCTATTTTTGCGTCTTTCCTTCTTCCCAGCGGTCATCGAGCCATTTTAGAGTGGAATTTCAAATCCAGTTTGCTGTAGTACATCCAGTAGTCCATACTATGCCTTCTATTTGGCGTCTTTCCTTCTTTCCAGCGGTCATCGAGCCATTTTAGAGTGGAATTTCAAATCCAGTTTGCTGTAGTACATCCAGTAGTCCATGGCTATGCCTTCTATTTTTGCGTCTTTCCTTCTTCCCAGCGGTCATGAACATCCAGTAGTCCATGGCTATCCCTTCTATTTTTGCGTCTTTCCTTCTTCCCAGCGGTCATCGAGCCATTTTAGAGTGGAATTTCAAATCCAGTTTGATCGTTGATGATTGGATGACAAGTAAAGCAATACCAAGCAACACTACCGTTAGAAGGGAGTTGCAACTGCGCACGAGCAAGTAATTCAAGCCGAGTAAAAATCAAAACAGACGCCAAGCAACTTCATTGATCGATTCCCACTCGTAAATGGATCTTCAGCCCGCTTTGCTAATGGCTAAACTGGACTAAGCTAGACTAAACTATCCTATGTGCAGAATTGATTAACATTGCATTCCACTTACTGACCTCAAAATTGTGGTTAAACAGTCAGTAAAAACATCAACAAGACTCGGATCAAGTCGATTATACACCATCATTGCCTACGCAGTTTGCCAATCATGGTAAGAATATTGCTTTCAATGATGTCCACAGTGATGCAAATGTCAACTAACTGTTACATCTTGCGACTTCTAAAAGAGGACAAGCTCTATTTAAGAGTCTCTACTACATGTCTATACCATGGTTATGTATTTCAACTTCAATGTTGTACTCTTTTCCTAGTTTTTACGCTATTGCACTTTGTTGTGAGAGTATAGTCAAGACTGCTTTAAACCACATCTACAGAATGCAAACGTCAGCTCATGCTATATGCTAAGATCATTATTAATTTTAACTGACTTTGAATGTTGCACTGTCTTTTCTTACTTTCTTCCCAGCATCCTAGTGGCACCATGCAAGCTAGCACACCCAAACGGTACTCTAAACAATTACATCAAGATGGTAATCAAAGACCTAATTTAAACTTAGCTGCACAAGACTTGGGCGATCCAAGTAAACCTAAATCCATTTTATTAGCAACTAATCAGACTCCAAAGAAGGAAAACTTGGTATGAAAATTGGGAATAGTCATCATACCAGTATAATGCAATCGATAAGAAAGCCAATATGGATCATGTTGATGAATGATAGCAACTGAAAGGATGCTGTCATTTCTTTCATACTGGCTTCTATTTAGAAATGAATACAGTATAGCTTTTATTCCATTGACACCTACAGCAGTGTAGTATAGATTGTACAACTACCGTATATTAGAACTCTGCAAGCATCAAATTCCCCATATCAATACATTTCAACCTACGACAGAAATGCTCTTTGCTTTGAGTTCACTTCTAGATACTTTACAGGTCACAGTTCATCAACAGTAAATTAGGGTGATAAGTTAATCGATATCATCAAATGACTTGTTTACGATCAGTACTACTGACCAATGTTAGATTATGAAATGGAAGGTAGCAACTTGATAAGTAGGAAGAAGACTGTATAAATGCTCCGTGATTATAATTATAGAATAGTACAAACATACAGTATAGTACATAATGATAGGATGTATGTGTACAATAGCTCACAAAAGCTAGATACGAAAATGAAACCTTAATATAGAATATTCCATACCTCTCCTATGAAATACCTTAATTAATGACTACGTGCATTAGTATAAACTTTCAGTGAATGAATGCAATACACCTACTTAAGCCTAAACTATGGTAGTAAAAAGTTACGCACTAATACACACAATGTTATAACATTGATATCTATAGTGTAGAGCCATTATTCTCTCACTTGAAATTCTTAACCATGCATACTTTCGCTATCAATCTATTAGTCTGTTCGATTCGAAGATTCATTTCAACGGCAAGTAAGAAAATCGCCTAGTCACACCAGTCGTGCAACGCAGCATGAATGGATTTCCTCATTGATGGATAATTCCCGTAACATAAACGAAGAGGACCCTTGTGAATCAAACTTTAAAGACATTTTAGAATTCCGTAGAGTTAATAGGGAGGAATGTGAATGCGACATTGAAAGAATGCGCGAGCTAGAATTAGGACTGTAAGTCCATAAGCACGCACTATGCAAATCCTACTTCTATCTACCAAAGACTGATTTACTACTATATTATCATAAATTTATAATGAATACTCTACTATAGATTGTACGATCCACATAATAATAATTCATCATTTTCTTCTCAGACTTTGGCTTAATAAATAAATATCTGAAACTCTATCATAGTCGTAAATAACGTAACCTTACTAACGAAAGCCATTATTAACAATTATGCCATACGTAGATCTCAATCAGCCCATTTGCTTCCGCAAGATGACTCATTGCCTAAACGAAGTAAGTATACCAAATTGTTTCAAATCATTATCATAACGAATCACAATTACTCAAGTGAAAAATAATGCAATCCACCACTGAGTAAGACCACATGCATTTGATATCTCGAAAATTTTAATAACACTATTTCACTTGTAATCATTGATCGCAATAGAAATTCATCACTATTACGTCAATGATAGACTTTTTCTAGAGCCAGTCTATATTGATAATGAAGGTTATCACGAAACAGGAACACCCTCATATCTAGATAATATACGGTAAGAACACGTATCAAGCTATATTTTGACTTGCTATTGGACTGTTCATATCTAAGCCAATAAAGCTGTAATACTTGAGTCCTACAGTAGTATTGTATTATGAAATCGAAGGCGATAATCCTACAACTAGTTTATATAATTTAATTGTTTCACAATTAAGTTATTTTTCGTAATTAATTAACTTTCGTGTAGGGTTACATTACGACATTCCATCCTTGAACCACAAGACAAAGTTAAACCACATAGGAGAAACAGCTTCGATCCAAGGGATTCAATGAGTTTATCCCAAGTGAGTAAAAATACTAGCAATAATCCTAAAGAGTAAATGGTAATTTGAATCAACTACTTAAGAGTGGGAATTAACTAACAGATTGACTGACAGCTAGCTCTTCGCTTACAACACACAGCATTGCTTAGCAGGTTGGAAAAGCTCCAAGCTAAATATCACACAATCGTCATCACCGATGGATCTACGCTCTGCTGCAAATCAACCTTTCATAAGAACGGTAATAATCTATCTAATAAAGAGAATGACAACGTATATAAACTAAAATGCATACTACTATAGTATTACTACAAGTGAATCCTTATTGATACCAGCAACCCTTGACACTAAATTGACTTACCAACGTTCTTTATTTTTTCTACCATTACAGCGCATGCAACCAGTACAAAATGAGAAAGCAAGCAAAGTCCCATCGAATAGTACGAAAGATTTAATAGATCGCATGCACGCGATAAACTATACCATGCAGTTATTAGAAAAAGAGCAGCAGTCACTCGGAGATGTATAAATTTGGGTAAATGAACACGGTAAACTATTCACAAAATTATTGCCGCCTCTATAATCGCTCCTCAATAAAAAGTGAAGTGGCAAAGCTATACACGCCTAATTAACTATCGAGAGCTCAATAAGGTTGATAGTAAGTATTACTAATACAGGGAAAATGGCAGCTACTATTAATCCTTAAGTATAACGCAACATACGTATGAAATAGATCCAGGAGTTGTATACTTGGTACAGTATTTATAAAAAGAAATGTGGCAATAACCAAACTAAACCTCTAGTCACTTTCAATCTGTACAGATCTCTTACCATCATGGATGTTATTGTTACATCAATTTTAAACAATTTTGTAATATTGACATTGTATTTATTTTTGGTTCTTCATTATTATCTGATGTGATGATATATTCGATTTCTCAGCTGAACCGGTAACATTGATTATACTATATAAATTAGAGTTACGGAAGTACCGTAAAGAAAAATGCGTTATCGCCATATAAAAGTACTATAAAGCACAATAAATTTTAAATCTTATTACGATAAATCATGTAATCGTAAAAGAACTGAAAACGTTACATTTACCATAAACGTAGTTCGCCTTAAGGCATCATATGAGAGATTTACAAACTTAAAAACAATCACACATGTGAACATATACACCAATTTTTGCAGACCTACTAATGAACTACTACTATACTGTACAATAAGATAGTTGGGCTTAATTAAATCCTTAGAACGATATTCCTGTGTAGGCAACAATGCCTTGCATTATTACCCAACGCCCAAAGAGCCAACCATCTCAGCAATGTTCATCAAATATTACAGTTAGTTTACAGAGAAAAAATTTGTTATTAAATCATCGATATTAACCAACTGCGACTCTACTGCAAATTCGGCACAAAAGCCGTTCGTTGTACATGATATCAATTTATATCCTCACATTTCTTAATACATGTCAAAATGCTTTATAAGCATCTCATTTAAAATCTACATCTACAGTTCTATACTTTAGCAAGTACAAGGTAAAAAGAATGCATACGAACCGCGAATCGCTAAAATTTAACCTATCACTAAAGATTTACGCATATATTGGTGTGTCCTAAAATGTATATGTTCTATACACATAGCCAGTACCTAATATCCAGGAAATAGTGGTCTGCCAGATGGACCCACAATAGTGACATTTGCAGCTATATGAATAATATACAGAACAAGAAAGCTTACACCGACGATAACTAAAATAATTAACAACGCGATTGAACTAGCTTTGAAAGAAATGATAAATCTAGGGGGCCCAGTGAAAGACAATAAAGCAGCACATATTGTCAATGTATAAATAATAGAAAAGAGAGTGTTAATGACGACGATCTGCCCAAATTTCGCCAACAACTGTATCTGAGTAAAGCACAGAGGTATAGTAGCTAAGATAGTTGTCAACGCCGAACTTAATATCGAGGTACCGATATGCGACATGGATGAAGATGTCCGCCACACTCGCAATTCTTTAAGACTCTATTAGGGAGAAAGAAATTAAAATTTTCCTATTAAAACAATAAATCTAACCAAATGACACACAAAATTGTCCTACACTACACTCGGAATACGCATAAAATGGAACACATTTTAAAATGTATTTGCTTTGCGTTAAAGTACACGTAGATCATATTTATCACTGAAGTATTGATGTGAAGACAGTGAATACAATTACTTTCTACCGCAGTTACACTGCCTACTTACTGACGATATAAAAAGTAATACGAAGTATCTACGGGTATAGATATATTAACGTTTAATATTCACCATTTTTTGCGGCAACTTTCTTCCTGCAATAAGATAGCCTTCAACTAAGTGTGCGCAATAGTCAACAGACGTGCCAACTATTATAGATAACGAAACCGCTTCAACCATTCCCAACTGCCATCCAGCAATATAAAATGTGAATGTCACAGAAAAAGCCACGCACGTGATAGTAATCAGGCTTATTAAGGTTAAATAGAAATTACCAGTAAAAAAGGCAACGGAACCAATACATAATGTTAAAGAAAGAACTACACCATAAATAGCTCCACCAACTGCAGTAACCTCAATAAAAACTCTCTGCCAATAAGAACTTGTTTGAAACACTGATTTAACACTATTAGGCATCTTAGGATCCTCTTTAATGCCTTTTATCAAGTTTTCCCATTCCTGATAGTCTGCATTCGAGATAAAAGAGGATTGGCCCATATAAATTTTCTAAATAGATTTAACAATAATCATATTTTAGGTAAACGTTGGACATTAATTATTCGTAACAGCACCTGAAAATAGCTAACGCAAATTTTAACATTTTATTAAATGGGGGATATGCTTACTAATTAAGCATTACCTCATAAAATACAGATAACTTACTGAAATAAAGACCATTGAAAGCCATTTTATTGCAGTTCTATCCTTAGATATCCCAACTATTGCAGCATCTGGCGTATTTGAATCGAAAGAATTAGGCCTAGGTAGCCCACTACAATCCCCTTTTACGTAACCTTCCAACAGTAATAATATGGTGTTAGGGAAACATTTCGCTCCTCCTTGTTTTACCAATTTCTCAGTATTGGCGATCTTTTTGCATATACGACATAGAGCAAATAAAGTTGCTTTCGTTTTTGGTTTAAGATTGCGATAGTCAGTAATACTATCAACAATAGTAAATTTAGGATCATAGATTACGGTTCCCTATAATACAAGCAGTGGTGTAAATAAATTTGCAGGCATATAAACAAGATTACGAACGTAATAACAGCTTATTGCTATCAGCGATACACATCAGTGAATATCAAGCTAGCGGCAATACCTCAGTTTTCTCAGGTCCATTATTCGATGAGACATTAGTGTTGTCGATACCTTTTATTCCAAAAACAATATTAATAATAGCGGTATTATCCATTGCTGGAGGTTGTACAATTGGATTGCAATCTTCTTTACATGGATTTATACTCGGATCATCTGTAGCCACAGTTTTAGCAGTTGATGCGGCAGTTGTCAATGGTGGTGTAGTAATAAACTGATGTGTAGCCTCGGAGCTTGACGATAAAGTTGACACCGGCTTCTTAGTTGTGGTAGTCGTTGGTGTTTTAGTGCTTACGCGAAAGGTTGTAGTCTCCGATAGAGGTGCAGTAACATTAGGCTTTAAAGGTGACGGTGATGAAGAGGACGTCGAGGCTTCTGAAGCAAAAGTTGAAGGCGTTGTACTTTCATGCGTATTATCAATTGTAGAATTACTACTCTGTTGCGAAACAGTAGGAGTTGTAGTTAGTGGCTGTGTAGTGGATGCAAATGTGGTTGGTGTTGGCGTTGTAGTAGGAGAAACAGTAGTAGATACAGTAGTTGGTGGTGGATTAGTAACCACTGGCATTGGTGGTATAAAGATACCAGAACAAGTAAAGCAATCGAGATTCGAATCACTTGTAATGTTGTAACGAATGTTTATCAATGTTTGCAGATTAGTACTTTCGCCAAAGAAAGCAGGTAATCTTGTTGCAGTTCTTAACTGTGTACATACTACAGCTGCTGCAGCAACAAGAATAACTGTAAATATGATAATGCAAGTTTTCTTCGCTTGTATTACTCTTTTGGCAATATAATAATATATAAATCGTTGAATTAATTCAGGTAGGCTATCCAAGCTAGAGACTCCTTCACCTTCATCATTCTCAACGTCACCGTTTTCCGATATCTTTTCCATGATCTTTCTGTAATCTTCCCTTGTGTATGGCCCAATCTCCTTCATTTCACTACCATCAGAAATATCCGGAATTTCAACAATATTTGTTAAACCACTTGAAAGTTCAGTATTGCATTCATTCCTAGTAGGAACATCTCTATAACTAGTATCAGAAAGATGGGCCTCAAGATCCCTTGGAAGGCGGGGTAACCAAGAAGATGCTGACGCTTTACAGCAACGAATTCGACGCATCAGCCAATTAGAAAAACGACTCTCTTTTTCTTCCAAGTATAGTGACCATATACATAATGCAGATGGCATCAGTAAAATATCAATTACCCAACAGGCTATAACCAACAGAGCAGTAAATAAACCGAAGTCGCGCACCGCTGGTATCTATTTATGAAAGTAAAATGAAAATTTGAGGTTATAAAAAAATTATGAAAGTTCCCATAAATCTATAATCACATCATATCTTACCTCAGAAAGTGTATTAGCTGCGAAAGCTACAGCAGTTGTAAAAGAAGTAAACAAGGTAGCTTTGCCTGCCGTGATAACAGTAAAAGATAGCCTTCTACTTAACTCCTTCATGTGAATTGTCTGCCGAAATGTATTTATAAAGACAAAAACATCATCCACTCCAATACCAATGAGAACAAACAAAGAGGTTCCATTTAAAATGCCAATGGTCGGTATACCAGCCAGAACACGATGAATAAAGTAAGCAATTGGAAAACTTAATACAATACTAAGTAACCCGATAACGGTTAAGTAGACAGAAAATGACGTTAAAATGAAGAAGACTATAAAAATCAATCCCAAACTAATTCCAGCCAACTTGATGTCATTAAAAAAAGCACTATTCACTTCGTAATCAAAAATTTGTGGACCACCATAAAGAACGCGGACATTTCTAGTCAAAAAGAGGATGCAAAATGAAATATGAGAATATGTCTATTACAAAACGTAGATTAGCAGTATTACTAATTAAATGAAACTGCACTAAATCGGTTATTATCAAAGACTGTGATGATAAGCTGATTTACCATCATTTAGATCGATTAAAAATTTATATCTGATCGAATTAGAAATACAACAATCTACATTTAAAATTATCTTTATATTCCATAATATCCTTGTGTGCAAGACTGCATAAAACCAGCATCACTGTGACATCATTTACATAACAGATATCTTTGTTAAAAAAAAATTTTTTTTTTGCGCTAACGATAACTGAAATCACATTTTTAGTGACAGCAAGATTCATGCAGTAATAACCGAAAGCGATTATAAGATTAGCTCTATTTCATAAGCAACTACTGTTTATCAAGATTTGCCGCGTAGCCACACCAATATACCATCATTCATCTAATGCTATGACGAAAATCACGAAATACGAGACTATCATAACATCAAAGCCTGAATACCAGAACATTTTGACATCTAATACCGTACTTTACATGCTTCTGCTGCTTGACCTACTGTGCATTAGGTCTAGCCAGTATTACATAGTTGTCGATTAGCTATTGACAATCTTCTGAGATAATGCTTTTCAAAAACGGTATCATATGATTTAATATCGTTAAAGTATTGCTTCCCAGAACTAATTGGCAGCAATAGATAAGTATACCCACACATAAACACTCTTATCAACTTACTCAGTTGACGCCTTGCTTAACATATCGACGTATGTGACAACAAACTTGGTAAATTTTTCACGCTGCTTGTAAAATTGATCATAAGGCCCATTGTAGCCATGTAAAGGTATACCAAAAATAGCCTGAGCACGTAATAATCGGCTGCCATTTTCTTCATTAATATTACTATCGAAATACCAATAAGATTCACGCTTGGATAAGATATAACGTAATGTCCCTGGTATATTCGCCAGTTTATCACCCTGTCCGTCAAATTTTAATCCATGTGGAGTTTGTGATGGAAAAAAATAAGTTGTTAGACTATTTAATGGCATACAATAGTTGATATCCTTCAATCTTTCATTGTTAAAAGACTGATATGAACGCCAACAGAAATTGGTAAAACCAGGGTGATTAATAATCTTTCTTTCAATTCCGCGTATATCGAGTAAACGCTGCGCAGTAAATATATTTTGACCATGATCATCGCCTCCTTGGGCAACATAGACTAAGTCCATAACCCAAATAGCAAAAGACTGAGAGAATTGATCAGAAGGAGCCCTTTCCTTCCTTTTATTATGATGGTATAACTGATTATAATCAAAGGTTCGCTCCAAATCAATCCTTCGACGCTGACGATTCCATGAATTAAAATCGTAGAAGTTCTGCCAATGTTGAGTACTGTTAAGACTCTCTTCAGTGATTGACAAACTTCTCTTCTTCGTATTTGTATTCTCCTTATAAAAATTGGTTGTTGCTACTCTCAAAGCTTCTCTCCGAATGTAGGTAGGATGATTAGTTATTTCAAATGCTTGCAATGAAATTTCAACACGAACAGGATAATATCCCAAGGTAATTGCTAATAAACCGCACGGAATAATGATAGTACACATCATAATGATAGCAGCAACCCATGGTTTAGCATAATTTCGTGTTACTGGATATAAATATTGATAGATGTCCTTTCTCGGTTGAGGTTGGATAGAGTAGGAAGGCATGTTGTCGAGACAGTTTGCTTTTTAAGATAAGAGGTAGTGTCCACTAGTTTTTTGCAGATCGATAACTATAATTTTATCTGTTAATAACGATAATTACGTTAGTTCCTGAACAAAAATCTAAACTTTACGTTAACAAGTATTGCAACCTATATAAGCATTGATTAATTATATATGGAATATTCATTTTTACTGAATAAAATTTAAAATCTATGATCGATAAATAACGATCTTCTACGAAGAATTAAATACTAGAGAAATATTCGATGTTCTACATCTACTACCATTATAAAATCGACGGATACATTTAATTTGTCACGTTTTATTTTACTGGAGCAATCGAAATTTTATATTTTCAATTTGACTATGTATACGCTTATTAAAACCAAAATCGTAATGAAATGCTGTCCATTTGACATCAAAAATAGATTGCGATAGCAGCCACCACAATACTGTACAGTACTTCAATTTATGTCTGGTATGATCAAGCTGCTTAAAACTGTTTCAAACTACTATGTTCATGGTAGCCTTATCCGAAATTAACTTCTTTTGTATGCTTATGCGATAAAAATGGGTATCTCGCATTTTTGCTATCGATACCTTAGTAGTCAATGATAATTTTCCTCCTATAGCAATTAATTAACAGCATACGTAATAATTAAATTCGTTATTTTATCAAATTGTCCACTATAATCTGTACTGACTAATTTCGGATTTTGACCATAATACATCAATCTACATTTTATCTTTCATCATTTTCTAGCTAGCTATTAATTCCTACAATCATTATGAAACTACGGGCGCGGAGGAAAAAATTTAGAACAAAGTTCATTCTTGAATGGCAATTAAGATATCAAAAGTGTACTTTCTTTCCACGCTGTAGCAATAATCATAGCAGAAGCACTGAAATTAGCAAGTTAAAAGGATGATCATATATAGTCCAGTGAGTGCTCATCACTGATCGCGGTTATGGTTATAATTATCAACACAAAAAGGTGTAAAAATGCCGAGGATATCACCATTAACCGACACTACAGTAATAAGTGTGTAGTACTGTATACGCGTATCATAACCGGTGAAGCAAGCACAGCACTGTATTGTAGATTGCTTGAATCTGTTAAGATGAGCAAAATGTACACGTACTTCAAGATTGCAACGATAAGATATTGCGCCGGTAGATTTGTTTATTACTTCGATTTGATCTAAAGTAATTGATGGATATGATAATTATTTGTATAATGATTCTGTGTAATGATAGGTTACTAATTTTATTTCTTGTCATGAGCTCAGCTACACGCACATTGATATACCGTAAACAAATGTTCTGCTCATATCAATAGACCGTTTTATCATCTTTCAGATAAATATTGATTATATAATTATTGGTATCCATATCAAATTTCTACTGCAAATCATTTTTCGAACGTCTCCTTTTACTCCATTACTAGTAATTATAAAATATCATTGTTATTATTTTTAAATGGACTGTAAGCTTGAAAAGTTGATAAACCATTGCATTGTACTTCAAATTCTATTGGACACTATGTCAGTAATCCGCCGAATTCGTATTAATGGCTACGAAAAATTGTGATTTACAGTACGCTGATGACTTTAGCGTTAGAGCATTCAAATCCTTTTTCCTCTTGTTTTGCTATTTTGAACATAATTTTAGAGTATATTAGAAGTAATAGAATATTCATGACCTATAGTCATGTTTATGATTTGCTTATAAAAACAGTGTAGAGAGTGGAGATACAATGAGTTGATGAACTGTGAAATAACTAGGTGAAAATTAAAAATTCCCTTGGTGGTCTTAAGATTCGATTGATCCATCCTGATACGAATTACCGCTGTTCAATCACCCGGTATATTCAAAACACCACGTAAAAGGAAATTAATGATATACAATCATTCAACTGTATTTGATAGCATAGGTAAGTCAATGACAAAATAAAATGAAGCTTCAAGTCATACAGTACGTATTGCCTTCTTAGTCAATGCTGCAAGATGCGAACTAAGTAGATTTTGACCGATTATAAAAATTATTAGCTTTCTATTTACTGTCAATAACACTCATCTCACCGTACCGATTCTACTGTATTTGCTCCACTGGTGAAATCCAATCGATGCAAGAATTGATAGGCCGACGTCAAGAAGTTTCTCTTAACTTCGATTTCATCAGTTTAAGAAGACAACTGAAAGGAATGTAGACTTACTCCACGTTTACCAATTATTTAAAGAAGAATGTCGACAGTAGCATAAAATTGCATGGAAAGCATAGCCCGTGTCGCAAAAGCTGGAATTTGAGCTTGAAAGATTTTTCTATCGAATCAATCAACCTGATCGCTGGTAATGAAAAAATCAATCTGCAATGAATCTCTATTCGATCTTGACTTCAAACTGCAGCTTATCCTACAGTCAAACACAGATCAGTGATTTCAGTGAACGCTTACTGTACGGTATTACCAATAGGTATAGTAGACGCGTAGGCTAAACAAATTAGACGTCTTCAATCAACAAGACAATATCTGTCCATTTTAATACGTATGTCGAGTAAAAGAATAACCAAAATGAAGACTAAGCGCTACCGTCTCCACTGTATAGTCTTATGATTTGAAAACTGGGATAGAATGAATAATAACAACTAGACTAAAATTGGACGGAAAATATCTTTTTATTTCGTCACTTTGGCTTTGGTCATGACAGGTTTCAGTCCATTGAATTTTTGATAAGTTTCAGTGAAAGTGGATGATCTCAGACTCTGCGCTACCGTCTCCACTGTACAGTCTTATGATTTGAAGACTGGGATAAAATGAAAATAACAATTAGACTAAAATTGGATGGAAAATATCTTTTATTTCGTCAATTTGGCTTTGGCCATGACAGATTTCAGTCCATTAAATTTTAGGATAATTTTCAGTGAAAGTTGATGATCTCAGACTCTGCGTGACGCAAATGGGAAAGCAATAATCGCCAAAGAACAAGGAAGCCCTTTTAAGTATGAGTTGACGTACAGTACAGTAGTGAACGCTGTACGTCGACAGTCATTAGTGAGTCACTTCTGACGAGTGACTGCTTTTTGTTTTCCTCAATGACAGAACAATAGACTACTGAGACACGAATGAATAATAATGCACAATGCACGGTATTGTACTGTACATTGTGCAATTGTAGGTACAATGTCGAGTTGAAGAGTGAACGGTGAAGCTGAACAAGTCAACATGTAGTGGTGTGTGACATCTCCACTGTCACGTCCAACTCCAGTCATTCTCCTCAAGCCAAGCGAGGGAAGACACAGGCTGTCAAAATTCTTCGTCCCTCCATCATTCCTTGATGCCTGTCGTGGAGACAACAACGACTGTCCTCAATCAGTATGGCAGTGTATTCTAGAGTTTATTGCAGTCATGACAAGCAGTAACATGGCAATCTATTAGTACACTAAGTTAACAAGCAGATAGTCGTAGTCTTGTAGTGTAGATATTAAAAAGAAAGGATGAATGAATAAATCAATAATTCCATGATAAAAAATTGCCTATGCCCACATTAATAGCATAATGAGAAGGATGACCAAGATTGAGCAAACAAATAAATGATTAATATTCACCGTGTTAAGCCTACGTATCAAATTAAAAATACGAGTATCATACGACAAGCAGAATGAATGATTCAATCCATGGTAATATTTCAACTAGGTTTTGATTAACTGATAACAGTAGTGTAGATGAGCTAGAGTAGATCCGGTTGGAAAACAACGGATGCCGGGTCTGTACATTTACTAATAGTAAGTTGTCAAAAATCACTTATGATAAACCAAGCCCTACGCACTTGATCTTTTACACGTTTTCTGCACTGTAAAATCGAGAAAACGCCATGATTGTAACCTACTACTACTACTATTCCTGTTCAAGACGCAATGACTGAATTCATCATTACCTATTTCATATTTAGAATATGAAGATTTCAGGTAAAATCAGTTTGAATAATTTCCTTATTAAAAGCCCCAAACTCAAAGTTAAAATTCTGTATATTCAGTAGTAATTACTGCAGACAATATACAGTAATGGCATTATTCGCCCTAAGCGTTAATTGCTGTCAAACACCTAGTGCGATTCCTACATGATTTCAACACGTATTCTCAATACTTTCCCTTCATGGAGTCACAGCGGCGTTTTAAACTGTAAATAAAAAATATTATTTCAATTTTAAAAGTCCATGGTACAATGTAAGCGCCATCTTCTAACCTATCCTACTTTTAGCTCCACTGTACAGTACTGTATGCTATTGTAGTAGCAGCCAACAATATCCTGCGACCCCATCCCAAGTAATGTATACTATCTACTTGCACAGCAGTTGTCTAAATGTCTCAACAGAAAACAAAGCATGGCCTTCAAAAAAAATCTCGTACAATGCCGTGCCGGTATCATATGCAAATTAACTTCACAGGATATACTGTCGAACCAAAATACCAAGCAAACGGTTATCCTCGTGTCAACAATCCATGCATGATTTTTACCTTAAGCTAGCCTTTACTTGTTAATGAATTACAGTATGTCAATGAGGTCAACCCTTACCGAAGAATTGCGCCATAATAAATCTTTGTACTATCCATTAGCAATCGACTTGAATTCAACCACAAATAATGCTAACTTATCTACGGCATTATTGATACTGACTTTCCCTAGAATCAGCAGGAGTAGTCTAAAGTACAACATGAGCCATTAATCGCTATAAGTAAGCTAGTAAGTAAATCAATCAACACAAGAAAGTTTAATATCTGCATACTTCATTTCCATAAACTCAACCCTACTGTGATGCTATCAGAGCTGTGCTGAACCAGTTTTAGAAACGATTACCACTACCTAGCAGTACTATTATCATCATATCAGAGGACCCTAGAGTACTTGAATTATCATTAACAGCTGTATCTAAATTTTAGACAGTCATGCAAGTTGTATGCTAATCCTTCTAAATAAAAAGAACAGACTACTGTACAGTATAGTAAT